ACTTATGCAATGGAATCATTTACGTTTTTTTTTATCTTTAATAAATTTGCAAAGATGTTAAAAACCTGTTATTTGCTTTGTCATTATGGTGTATGGAGTGCAGACTGATGTGGGGGAAAAAAAGTAATTTAAAGCAGTTTAACATAAGGTTGCAACACAACAAAACGTGAAAAAAATGAAGGGGTTTGAATACTTTCGCAAGGCACTGTATGTTTTGGTGGATTTTAATGTGAGAGGACAACAGGAGATGGACTTTTTCACTGAAAAAGTGCATGTGCTGTGAGTTGTCATGCATTTGGGAACAAAACATCACCAAACATCTTCCCAAACTTGTAATGAGATTTATATATACAAGCCTATGGAAGCCCATTTCCACCACTGAATAAAAAAAATGTAATTGTTACTTTTAATCACACAATTTTCCCTTTTTTTCTCGCAATTGCGTGATACACACTCACAATTCTGACTTTTTTCTCAGAATTGTGAGATATAAATGCACAATTGCAAGAAGAATTTCCAGTTTATATCTCACAATTCTGACTTTATAATTCTCAATTGCAAGTTTATATCACGCAATTCTGAAAAAAAAGTGAGAATTTCCAGTTTATATTTTACAGTTCTGACTTTATAACTCGCAATTACGAATTTATATCACACAATTCTGAGAAAGAAGTCAGAGTTGCTTGTTTATATCTCACAATTCTGACTTTATTACTTGCAATTGTGAGTTTATATCTCACAACTCTTGAGAAAAAAAGTCAGAATTGTGAGATAAAAAGTTACATTTTTTTAATTTTTTATTCAGTTGTGGAAACGGGCTTCCATACTAGCTATACAAACCTGATGTTGTTTTTTCAGATGAATCACAATTAGATTTTATCCACAAATCACGTAGCCCTGCTTCAAAATATCTTCTGGATCTTCTCAGAATATCTTCTGGAATGACATTTGGCACAGTTTATGACAGAATTATAATTTGTTGGTGAACTATCCCTTTAAATATTTACATTTTTCCTCCATATTTTGTCCTGCACTGCTGCCTGCATGTAAAATGTTGTGCTTCACTCTGCTTCATGAATTATAAAGGACTGAGACCAGCAAAACATAAATCCAAACCTCAGCCAACATTTAAACCTCACCATCATCGTCTTCCAGAAAGAAAAAGGACTAAATCGCCTGATGTTCTTGCTAAATGGTCTCCTTGCAAGCACATGCCAAAGCCTCAAACCATGCAATCCTTTCATTTTGGCCCAGCATAGCGATTGCCCTTTTTCCAAGTCAAGGCATAATGGGTATCTTAACTTGGCAGCTCAGTTTTATGTGTGCTTTTTACCTGTGGCTCTATAAACATATTTGACAACATTTTTATAATTTTGACAAGACGTATACAGAGTGAGCCCATGTTGTTTAGCAGTTGTTGTATGTTTGGCTGTAGCGGGTTTGGATGGAGCGCTGTGTGTGTTGTGGTTTTGGACTTTGAGCTTGTGTTTAGTGTTGTGAGCGTGTAGGCAGGGAGGAAATGCTGACTGGCCGCAGTAAAGTGCTGACAGTAAAAGAGACAGTGCCTGAGTTTTGGTGGATTTTAATGTGAGAGGACAACAGGAGATGGACTTTTTCACTGAAAAAGTGCATGTGCTGTGAGTTGTCATGCATTTGGGAACAAAACATCACCAAACATCTTCCCAAACTTGTAATGAGAAACTGGCTGTTGTCAACAAAAGAGAAGCTTAAAGGGCCCCCTGTGGTTTGGTTTAACATTTGGAAATGAATAAAATGTAACAGCCATATTTATTCATATTGCAATTTAACCATTATAAGACATGGATCCATAGAGACCAGCACATATTCAGGGAAGAGAAGAAAACACACATTGATTTATGCATTCAAAGACACTGCTACTATTTTCCAATCTATCTTTCTTATTTGATCTACTTCTGCCTTTACACAAGATAACACATTTACTCATTCTGAACTTTCACACACTTTCCAGGGCCGTATAATGCTATTCTCAACTCAGTGTGTGTGTCATTGCTAGTCTTTCCATGAATGATCAGAGGTTCAGGTACTTTCTTGGATGAGGAAATGCTAATGCGCCACGATCTAGTTTATTTCTCACACATGCTGGTGATTATGAAATGACTGTCTTTGTCTTATTGCCAAATTTCTGTTTATGGGTTTGTGTAGTTACTGTCAGGCCTACTTTACTTACTAATATTGATTCTCTGGAAGCCTGTCTGGCTAGACTGTGAAAGCACTGAGAGGAACTGTTGTGATTTATTCCTGAAAATCCTGTTTTATTTATTTATTTATTTTTCTATTGATGCTTTCAGGCTTCTGTATTTGGACTTCAGAGAATGATTCAGGTGAATAATTTAATGAGCTCTTTGACAGATTTTATACCGTTTACTGTGGGATCGGTAATAATTCATAAATAATAAATGAATGCTTAGGGCTGCCAATCAATTTAAAAATTAATTTCATGATATGCTGGATGTTAATGCGCAAATATTAATATATTAACTGATAAACATTGCCTTCAGAATTAAGATAATTTAATTGATGAGTAAACAAGCAATTATTGACAATTATTACGCATAATTGACATTGCAAAATGCAGTTTTTAGCAGCAAATTAGTGCATTTAAAATATATTAACTTCTGTAAAGCATGACAAATGATAAAAACATAATGATTTAAAATGTCCTTTAAAGTAAAAACGTTATTTTAACATTATACAAAGTGCATTTAAGTGTTAAGAAACTGTCAGGAAAGTGTGCTCTCGCTAAGGACACTTATGTGGCCTTTAATTTAATAAATATATAACTATTTAAACGTTGAGGCGCTTTTTTTCACAAGGGACAGTCCACAGCTGACCAGTCTGTACCATTTTTGTTGGTCTGTGTTCATATGCATCATATGGGCATTTAAAACGCATCAAGACCCCTGCAAACAGTTTTTGGATCTAAAAATATGTCCTATGTGAATGGCTCCTTACTCACTCAGTGTGGTTTTTAGTAGCAGCTGGACCTGTGCTGACTGCAGAATTCCCAAACCCCATGCTCTGCACTGGTACTTCAAGCTTAAATTGCTCAGATGGTAGAAACATGTCCATAACTTGCATACTGTTTAGGAGGACATGATTAAATATGTTAATTTCTTAGCTCATTTTGTTTTAAGTAATTTTCTGCGCTCATTTAACATGCTAAATTAACAGTAAGTTATTTGCATTAAAATATCGTTTCAAGGTGTTCTTCTGTTTCTGTTTTAAATGGTCTTCTCTGGGAGTACAGGGCTGCTATTCTGATTAGTATGCATAATGTATGCAAATTAACCTGCATATCCAGACTGTCTGTTCAACAGCCATTTGAACCCTGTCAGGCTCTGACTTGCATTTCTTAGAGAAATTACTTGCTTACTTTAAGTGCTGCTTCACCATTCATTTATCGCACCCTATTTAGAGAGTATTTACCATAATGTTATTTGAGGTTAGATATACGCTGGAAGAGCATTTCTGAGCCAAATTTACAACTAATTTACAAACTATACAGAATGGAGCTGTATTTGGGTGTAACGTGTCAATAACAATAGAAGTCTTATATCATATATTAAAATTTACTCACACTCGGGCCATCCAAGATGCAGACGAGGTGGTTTCTTAATAAGAACAGATATGGAGAAGGTTATCATTGCTCCACTTGCTCACCAGTGGATCCTCTGCAGTGAATGGGTGCCGTCAGAATGAGAGTCCAAACAGCTGCTAAAAACATCACAATAATCCACAAATAATCCATATGTGTCCAGTCCATCAGTAAACGTCTTGTGAAAAGCTGAGTGTTTGTAAAAAACAAATCCATCATAAAGAAGTTTTAACTTCAAACTGTTGTTTCAGGCTAAAATATGAATTGTCTATCCATAATATCGCTTTCGCCGTGAAAAAGTGGTCTCATCTGAATTAGGAGAGAAATATGCACAGATCAAGCACCATTTTCAAGAGAGAACAGTCCAAAACAGTTTCTAAACAAATATGTTGGTGGATTTTGATGTGAGAGGACAACAGGGAACATTTTTAACTGGAGGAAGTGTTATTATGGATGATGGATGCGTATTTTGACCAGAAGCGATGGTTTAAAGTTTAAATGCAATAATGATAGATTTGTTTCTTACAAACACACAGATTTTCACTTCATAAGACAATAATTGATGGACTAAAGTCATGTGAATTATGTGTGTATTTATTATTTTTATCAGCTGTTTGGACTCTCATTCTGACGGCACCCATTCACTGCAGAGGATCAATTGGTGAGCAAGTGACGTAATTGTACATTTCTCCAAATCTGTTCCAATGAAGAAACAAACTCATGCACATCTTGGATAACCTGAGGGTATTTTCATTTTTGGACGAAGTATTCCTTTAATATGTGAAACTGTGAAAAAGATTATCGCTCCATTTCATCTGCCCAAGTTCAAAAACAACTAGATATTTAAATATGCGATTAATTTGGTGAATTTATCTGCATGTATTGTTATTAATTTGATTAAAATGTATAATTGATTGACAGCCCATGTGTTTTAAATTTAAAAAACATTTGCTGCTTCATGATGAAAGGGGTCTGTATGTATTTTACTTGTACAAGTGTGTTACACAAACACATTTGTATATTTATTGTCCTTGAGCAAGGAAACTAAATGAAAGATTTATTCATTTAGTTTCCCTATTATTATTGAAAGATTTATTTGTAATGAAAAAAAGCCCCTGAGGGGATCGTACAGGAAGGATTATGTTGTCAGCCATGCGCATTACGCATCAGAGCTTACAGAACAACTTAACATTAATGTAACAATATAAACTTGGATCACAGCCACTCTTTAACCTGACAGTAAATATCATAAACCGTGTTAAGTGAGAACAAGCTGACAAGAGATGGTTATTTTAACACATGTTCGTAGCACATAACAGAAGACATCCTGACATTGTTTTATTATCTTTTCCTTTTTTTGTAGATCCTGAAGATTATCAGCCACCGATATGGAAATCGTACTGTGAGTATTTTAATGTGTTTTTAACATTATACATGTACTGATTTACATAATTTAAATGTAGAAAACGAGATCCAGTTGACAGACTTCACACTATACTGGAAAAACAGCCAGAATAACATACACTCAACTGAAGAAATACAAGAATCTGGGCTTCAAACAGAAGAACATTGCATCATGGGAATGTGGTCTGGCACAGAGGAAGTGGACAGGAGCAATTCTAGAACACTTTTTGCTGAAGGTCTCCATGGCCAGTAATCAATCTCTCAAATTTTTGTAGCCCATCCCACGATTCAACTCAGTTTCCCTCGCATTCACTCCCACTGTGTAGTATTTTTAGAGCAGGCCTCGTCCTTGTCATTCTGGTGGATATTGTCTAGAACCCACTGCTTGTTCTGAGCTTCTTTGACAAAAACTTGGCATTGCTGTCAGATGCCTTCCTGCTTCCTGTGAGGAAAAATCTGAGTAGTGAGGCCAGACTCTGTCTATGCTCGGACTGCGGCGGCCAATTGCTGCTCTCTGTGATGAGCAGCTTTTAATGAAGTCATCAAGAGAAGGTCACGTCCATGTCGAGCTGAAGTATCCCTGCACATCTGCTGCTGTTTTTGAGCCGGCATTGATAATTTCACTAGTGCTGCTCTCTTCACACTGATCTAAATGCCATTATAAAACTTTTCTTTATTACAGAACTAATTGGTTGAGATTGATAATATACTGCCTTGTCCTCTAGTCAATACACTTCCATGGTACATTTGTTTTTAGTACATTTTGTAAATACAATTGTTACCAGCAATGCAATTTGGGTTAAAATGTTTAATTGAAAAATTAACATAAATGTTCTTAATTTTCTTAAAGATTTTCCTCAAACCTTGAATGCACAACTGACTCATAAATGTATTTTTCGATGTAAAAATGATATAGTAATATATAGATATAAACTATATAGAAATATAGTATAGTATATAGTACAAGTATCATAAATTATTAATTAATAAATATTTTGTTTTAGGGAAGTCATCCTACATAACATTTTACAACCTGAACTAATCTTGCCTTGTCATTAAAAAAATCTAATTATCTGATATTTAAAGAGACTTTTTAAATGTTTGTTTATATGCAACATTGTCATATAATAAGCAGTGATAATAATAAAGATGCCAAACTACGTAATCATGTTTTCTTTACAAGAATTTAATTCTTTTTAATTTAATGCGTCCGCCCTCCAATCATATCAAAAGTATTTGAATGCTTGAATGTTCATCATAAAAGAGATGCATTCAAGAATATGTATGAATGACATTTTAATGTATTTCTGTACAGAAAATCGGATGTCACATCAGAAATCCAAATATTTCTAATTCCTTCCTTCATTTATTTTTAATTTCATTTTTTATATTTTACAGTGTTCAAACTCATAAAAAATCATTGATTGAAACCCACTGTAGGTGCAGAGAGAGATGGAGGTGCACTTTAGCACCTTTATTTATTTGTATAGTGCCAAATTTACACTACAAAGGTGGCACAGAAGCGCTTCTCAAGTGGCATTTAGGCCCTAGGTGTTTTAACACAGACTATTTAATGCTGCTCAGAGGTGGCTTAAATGCATTTACACAGAAATTAGCCTATAGCTGTATATTTGATACTGGGCTGAGGTGGGACTGAGCAGGCATAATTTAGTCTGGCTTTAATGCAGCATTGCGCATTTACGCTGGATTTTGTGCCTAGAGCAGCCTTAACTCAACTGTGGAAAGACGCCTTTAGGAGATACAGGTGTATATTCCATTTTAGTGACGTAGTCCGTGGCTCCAAATTCAAAGTCCCTATTTTTATCATTGTGAATGAAGTAACTTGCTATCAAAGGAATGTTGTTTGAACTGACCGCAAACTGACCTTGCCTGTGCAAGCCGATTATTTGGGAGAGGATAACCTGAGGAATACCTGGTATTAACCTCCATTCTCTGTACTACATTTTCAAACAAACAGGCACAATCAAAACATCAGAGCCTAACCCCCCCTTAAGCTGAACACTGGCCCTTCATGTACGCCATTCCCATATTGACCAACTGTTGGTGTTGATTTATCTGTTTGCCTTTTGCGCAGTGTTCATTTTTCAATAGCTTTACCAATATTACCCAATCCACTTTTATAATGCGTTGTAGCTTAATCTGACAGCAGTGATAGTGGGTGTGTGTCCTCAAGCTCAGACCTAATGGATTAATGTCTAACAGAGAATGCTGTGTTTTGACATGATCTATATATATACCAGTATCTTACCACAGCAAAATAAAGATTAGAGGTTAAATAAACTGTAAAATTTCTCCTGTTGGGTTGCTGCTCATGGTGAAAGATTCAATATCAATTTATTTATATCAACTTTTATATTCATATTCATTTAAAAAAGCAGAAAAAATATTTTGCTTTTTGTTCCTCAGTGTACCAGCTACAGCAGGAAGCACCAAGACCAAAGAGGATCACATGTCCTCAGGAGGTAAGTACAGGAAAATGTGTGTAAACACTCCCAAGGTTTATCAAACATGACTCATATTGATTCAGTCTGCATATCTTTTACTAAACACTGGAGCAGATGTCTCCATGTTCACAAAATCCTATTAGAAAAGACTCTCCCGTCACCAGTAAGACAAAGTCATTTGTGTTGAAAACTGTATTTCTTTTTCTCTCTAACATGCAGATGGAGAGCAGACCCAAATACTATGGAAGAGAGTGAGTGTCTAACTTTATTAGTGGTGTTTTGGAAGCAAAGCATCAATACTACTATTCCTCATATTACTTCTGGTATCCATCTGGTTACTTTTTACCCCATTCTTCAAAAATGTGTGTGAAATTTAGAGTGACTTAGCAGAATTTATTGTTTAAGAGTGTTATGAGGGGTTGTGCATATTGATTTTGTGTAGTGATGTGCGTGAGGGTGCAAATATGAAATAGTGTATGAGGGAGAGAGAAAAATACAGTGATTTATGGTGTGTCAATTGAGTGAGAGTGTGTGTGCATGTGAATATGTAAGCATGAGAGTCTCTGTTTGTGTGTGTGTATGTGTATGGGTACCAGGGTAAATGATGGTGTCTGTGTACAGGTTTCATGGTCTGATTTCCAGAGAGCGTGCAGATGAACTGCTGGCTGGTACAGAAGGTGCTTACCTCATTAGAGAGAGTCAGAGACAACCAGGAACATATACACTTGCTTTGAGGTACACACCATCTATTCTTATATCCTTTTCTCTGTATGTTCATCCAGCCATCTATACATCCATCCTCTTCTTTATATTGCAGTAGTTACTTTATATTTTACTTAATATTTTTACATTTCTTTATATTGTTACTATTCAAAAGTTTGGGGTCGCAAGGTTTTGTATGCTCACCTAGACTGCATTTATTTGATCAAAAATATACTAAAAACAGTAACATTGTGAAATGTTACAATTTAAATAATTATCTATTTTTATTTTAAAATGTAATTTATTCTGATCAAAGCTGAATTTTCAGCATCATTGCTTCAGTCTTCAGTGTCACATGATCCCTCAGAAATCATTTCAATATGTCGATTTGATGCTCAAGAAATGTTTACTATTGTTATTACAGTTGAAAACAGTTGTGCTGCCCAATACTTTTGTGAAAACCATGATACATTTTTATTTAAGAATTTTGTTTATGAACCGAATGTTCAAAACAATAGCATTTATTTGAAATAGGAGTCTTTTGTAACAATGTCAATTGACCATTTTAATACATCCATGCTGAATAAAATTATAAATTTCTTTAAAAATCAATAATATTGATATTATATTGATATTAAATAATTATACATTGAATTATATAATAAAATATTATATTATATTATAAAATACTATATAAAATACTTTGTTTTACAATATACAGTAACATTATAATATAATAATTATAATATTATATAATACTGTATAATAGTATATGGTAATATAATATGAATACTGCTTGTCTGTCACTCAGATTTGGTGGCCAGACTCTGAACTACCGACTCTTTTATGATGGAAAGCACTTTGTGGGAGAGAAACGTTTCGAGTCAGTTCACGATCTGGTTACAGACGGCCTCATTACTCTCTATATTGAGACAAAGGCAGCAGAATACATCGCCAAGATGACCACAAACCCCATCTACCAGCATCTGGGCTACACCTCTCTCCTGAGGGACAAAATCACTCACCGACTCAACCGGACCCGCTCTGAGCCCAAAAAAGTTACTTTCCAGCAGGATGAAAAGGTGAGGGGCATACCTCTTCATAAATTATATATATTCATATCATAATGTTCTTTGTACACGTTGTTGTACACGTACACGTATGTACACTTTACTAAAGTTACAGCCTACAGTGTGAGCAATGTATGATCAAAGCCTTAAAGATATAATATACTGCATAATCAACAGACATTGTAATCAAACCATGGTCACTTATGGCAAATAATGGTGATAAAAGAATTTGTTGCAGTTTTTGTTGAAATCAGTAATAAAAATTTTTTTTTTTGTCAAGTCCCACAGGGCTACGTTTTAGGACCTTTGTTGTTTTTCATTGTATATTTTGTAGGCTTAACAGGAAACTTGGGATACATTTGGTTGTTTTTGGCGTTATTGCTAATTTCAGCACTCTGACTAACTTTTTTTCTTTTTCTTTTTTTTTAACTAACAGTTAAAAAAAGTTTTTTTTTAACTAACGGTAATGCTGTAAATTCTGTTTTAGTTCCTTTATTTGAGCCATATTTGGTATTTGAGATTATATTTACTGCAGAATTCAATGAGATAGTTCATCTTAAATTCTCATTTCTGTCTCTTTGCACAGTAAAAACAGGACATTGGACCACTGGCACTGCTCCATTATGTGCCCATAAATGTTATCAAGGTTTTATTGCTAATAGTAAACACAACCAACCCATATCATGGTGTCAGACACCATCCTTTCACAAATCATTATTAGAATGGTGTTTAGACAAATAAGGAGCATTTCTTTGCGTGCATTTGGAAGATTAGAAGAGTGTGAGAGTGTTTCAGCGTCATGGTGTGTGTCTTTGATGAAAGATAATGCCATGAATGTGTTGTCTCCTCCTCTCTCATTTATCAGACGTGCTGTCTGGTTCACTGACGGGAGAGTTTTATCAAATCAGTCAGGTCTACCGTTACCTCTTTATAAATTCTGCTGCCTCACTCTTGAGGTGAAATGGCTCTTCATGAGAGCTCTATGAAATAAACATAAGCGATGATCAAACATTTGTGAATTAGTCAAAGGAAGTGTAGTTTGTTTATCACCCAGTCATGTTTGCATAGGGCATATTTGTTTTTGTTGCAGACACCAGACAGAGAATTTTTGATGTGACTCAGTTGGCCCAGCATTCAAATTAATATAAATGAACGCAATACACTTTTTTTTCATCTTACTGTTTTGTACAGATGTCCACTAGGGGGCAGCCTCAACAAGCTGTCAAACTGTAAATATAGATTTGTACATATACTTCAAAAGATCTGCTTTGTGCAGCCCAGTATTCACTTCATCAAATTTTCTTTCTCTTATATTTCACACACTGTGATGCAAATTTAATGTAGAAAGAACATCAATTAAAACCGTAAGCTTTTTCTGAGCAGTCCACCCTGCTACAACCAATTGCGCTTTAAAATTTTAAATCCATAAAATTTAAAGCGCACATTACATTTTGATTGTCTGTTTATTCTGAATATTGTGTGTGTACTGTACAGTCATACTATTTTGTGCGCCTCTAGAAATACAAATAAATCATCATTTGCTGAGACCAGCAGAAATCCAAAGTTTTCTTTGATCTGGTCTCACAGTACACATAACATTCTGGAACATTTCCCTCAGCCTAATCCAGACAGCATTTTACATCTGGTACAATGAAGATAAAATGACAAACCCAAAACTCACAAACTCAATGAATCTTCCATTTCGGTATTCTCTGACTAATGCTGTGATTCCTGATAATAACTGTGCAGTTATCTTAATATTGGCTGTAATATATTGCTGCATTTTTACATTGTGGCTGCAGTTCTTGCACACTTACTAGATTCATTCCACTATAATTAAAAGTGTTATTTTAGTGTTATTGATTTACTGTTGTAGTATTTACTAATATTTTGAATAAAAGTTTTACATTTTAAATTTTAGTTTAAAGTTGAGCAGTTTTGTTATGTTTCTATTCTTTTTATTCGTTTTAATAGCGTTATTATTATTAATTTAAGTGAATTTATTTTCAGTTATTAATATTAATATTTTATTTTAGATTTGTTTCAATTAACAAAGGCAATTTTTAATAGTTTTTGTTTTAGTTACAATCAAAAACAAAAAATAACAATCAATTCTGGTCTTTATGATCTACCATTCTGTTTTAATGATGTAAATTGCTATAGAGATCTATATTTAAGGCTTTTCATGATAATGAAAATCATCATCATGGATACATCATCATCATCAACAACAACCTAACAATCAAATCATTAAGGTAATTTGGTCTCATTTGAGATTTTACAGTGACCTTACACACCCTGAAATCCCTTTTACATCACTGTCTTGATTCACAGTACTTGTGTCTGAGCATTTGCCGGTCACATTTAGGGACCAGAATTGGGTGTGTTTTTCTATGACGGCAGTCTGCTTGTATGATAATCTGAATGAAACGCTCACCATGCCTGTCTGGTCACCTGCGCAGCTCTCATGGCTCTCTTCTTCTAATAACAGTAATCGCACAAGTGTTCTGCTGGCCTGGCAAGTTCCTACTAAAACCACTCGCTGCTGATGGATCGTAGTTATTAGAATTAGCGCTGAGCTTTGTGGTGATTTATCATTGTTGTTTGCATTATATTTCAGCACTGCAGCTTTTAAACTGAAGGATTGGAATAATCCGTTTTTTACTTTCCTGCAGTTGTACATAAGTCATAATAATGTCGCATTCTTTGCTTTGCCGGTTTGACAACATGCAATTTTTGTCCTTCATTTTTTTTTAAATGTCCTGCTGTGCAGACAGTGATGGACAGTATTTGGAATGAATTGAATAGTGTATTAAATGAATATAGTATATTTCCCTCTGTGTGTATCACATAGGGTGCGGTTTTGTACTGTACACACTTTCTGTGCCCTAGTTCTGTCTGTCTCCTCAGCTGCGGGGGTCTCTTCTGTCAATACAGTGGTCTCTAAAAAGAGACTAGGCTTTATTGTCTCTCTTTTGTGTTTCACTTTGTGCCTCTTTCATTAGGAGACAAGAAGCCATCTGCCTTAGGACAAAAAGTGCAAGTCTTGCTCATGCACTCACACTGTCTGTGCGCCCCGTCTCCCTCTTCCCTTTTATCACACTATATAACTCCCCAACATCTTTCTTTTGAGTGTATAGTTTAAATGTGTGTCTGTTTTTAGTTTAGTGTTGGTATTGCAGATTAGGTTATCTGAACTGGATGTTGGTCCTCTAAGCAGTTTGAATTAGTGATAATATAGTTTACATTTTGCTGTATAGTATATATCGCCCTACATGAGTATACTGTAGTACTGTATGCAGGCAAAAGTGGGGCATACTGTACTTATATACAATTTTAGTAATATTGTAGCTCTCATATACTAGCTTTCTAAAGCTGTTAATGACCTTGTGCAAAAAGTGCTTTTAAATATGCACTTGTAGTGTACTACACATTTTTAATACAACTGTACTTAGAGATAATATAATATTAATGAAATAAAAGGGCACTTTGGTATACATACACTATCATGACTGTTTCTTCAATATTTAAATACATGACTAGTAATTGAAATTACATTAAAGTATTTTTTAGTTTACTGTAAATGCTTGTCATTACGAAGAACACGCAGAAGACAATAGAAGTAATTATGAAAATACACATAAAGATGAGTCCTACTTATTTGGGTCAAAAAATATATTGTTTTAAAGTATATTATTTCTCTAAAAAAGACCCTTTCTAAAAGTATGCTAAAGTGTACTTATTTTTTACAGGGGATGCCAGGATGTCATTTTGTAGGCTAACCAGCTAGTTTGCCATGGGATTTTTATTATAGTGGTTTTCGATGCATGATTCTGTGCTTAACATTACCTGAAGAGACTTGTTTTGTTTAACTACATAAATTACACACAGCCATGTCTCAAAAAGCACTGTTGTGTGCTTTAAAAAACTAATTTGCTAACATTTGTCTTTGTCTGTCACCTTATTTTACTCATAAACCAAAGACTGCTATTGTAAAACACTATCAGAGGTAATGCTTTCCTCATATATGTTAATTTTAGTACATGTTAATAAAACTCTTTGGTTTTAGGACTACAAACCAAAAAGCACTATATTGATTATATAAATTGCCATTATATCAGCCATCAGCTGCTTTGTGCCCTAGATATTGCCATCGGCTTTGAAAAACCCATATTAGTCGACCAGTAGAACACATGTTAACTGCCCTGTACCCCCAGCACACAAAAATGTGTGCCACTGTGGAGGTCAGCCGCAATAAAAAACCACACCAGCGCTTTTTTAGCAATGCTTATACTTTGTGTCAACACAACCCTGACAGTCTTCCACTCAGCTCCGCCTGACTTTTCTGGGAAATCAGGTACATCACGTCTCTGAATGTGGCATATTTTAAATATGTGAGCCGTAGCCAGGTTGTTTTTCTTCGTCTTCGGCATTCTTTCTTTTTTACTTGTCACAGCTCCATTATTCTTTCCTAATTTCATAATTTTGTTAATTGATGTAATCGTGCAAATGACCGGCCACCCATTCTGCTCTGTCAGTTCTGCTGTGTCTGTGAGGTTAGGAAGTCTTGTGTGTGTTCTATGGGATGCTTCAGCAAATACCCAGACAGTGTTGCTGGATTCGGCATCAGCCTCCTGCTGAGAGGGGTCATGGTCCCCCAGCCTGGACATGAGTCTTGGTTTTGGTGCAACAACAGAAATCCTTATTTACACCCGGTATTTAGTAGCATCCATCTTAGTTGGATGATCCGATGACAAGGGCTTGTGGTCCTGTAAGACATGTTGCATTTTACACCTAGTACATTCTTTAAAAAATTCCAAAAACCTTAATAAAATATAATTTCTTAAAAGAAACATGATATTCATGGTGTGAAGAACATCTTAATGATCTTAAGAACCATTTTCCACTAAAGAACCTTTTGTGCAGTGGATGTTAAAGGTTCTTCATGGAAACATCAATGCCAATAAAGAACCTTTATTCTTAAGAGTGTAGTAATGACAAATGTAACCTGTAAAGTTATTACTCCTGTTTTACCACAGTGGATGATACAGGTACAGTACGTAGGCAGTAATTCAAAGTATACACTGTAGTTAACCTCAAAATAAAAATTATGCCATTATTTACTTTGTTCCAAGCCCATTTATCTTTGAAACACAAAAGTCCATGCAACTAAAATGTTGGCACACACCAGTAAGTTCATAAAGACATTGTAAAAGTAATGTGAATCAAGCAGTTCAATCCAATTCTTCTTAAGAGACACCAGCACTTTATATGATGAACAGATTTAGTTTAGTCTTTTATTCAGAGGCTTAAACGTACTTGCTTGATGCTCAAAAACCATTGAGGTTTTTGAAGATTGGGGAGTATATTTTTAGTCTTTCTAAAAAACTTTTTTTAAGTCTAATTCAGTGTGTTACTTGCCATTTTTTTTTATTATTTGTGAAATTTACTCAAAATAGTTTCAAAGGAAATCCTACACCAAATTCTTTTCAGTGTGCCTTCAAATGTGGTTTGTATGGAGACCCTTGAGGGGACATGGTGATGGAAAAAATATGAGATAGGAGAGAAAATTATATTTCAGTGCTTTTGTGTTCTCCTGCACAAGTATGCATTCCCCTGAGAAAGTTTGTGTTCACTTGCAAAACTTTTAAGATGGAAATAATACCATCAACATGTCCCTTTAAGGGCTCTGTAGGTTTGAGAGATCCAGATCACAAAATACTTTGCGCCCTGTTTACATTTGTATTTTTTTGCTATCCACGTTTAATTAGATTACCTGAAATAGATCATGACCAGGTTTAAATGGGGTCTAAGCAAGTCTGAATCCTGAAACAAGTGATTCCGGCACTATAGGATTATCCTGTGATGCAGGATTACAACTGTAAATCTACTTCAATCCTGATCCGATTTGTAACAGAAGTTACAATCAGAAGTTTAGTGACAGAGAGAGGTCTAAAAGGCTAAACCACATAAAACCTCTCAGTGCTAGACCTGAAAAGAGAACCTACTCTTCTCAGAACAGATCTCTGATTTTATTGCTTATAAAGACGAGCTCTTTGGCTTTTAGCTGCAGGATTATCTGCTCTCAAGGGAACTGCGGTGGAATCGTGTCTGGAAGCGCTGTGTTCTGGATTCCATTGATCCCACTGCAGAAACCTGCTGAGATGTATCTACAAGACTGACACAATCACTCCTTCTCCCTCTCTCTCGCATTGCCGTTCTCTCAGAGTGCTGAATGTATGCTATTGTGTGAGACACACTCCTGCCCCCAGGCAGCCCACTCACCATACCTCCCACCCCCAGCCCTGCCCATGCAGGGCCAGGCTGTCCCCCTTCTCAGTCGACCCAGATCACCAAGGAGTGGAGGACTGACTCAGTCCCTGCTTTTATCTCCCATTCCATATTATTCTCATCTTCCTCTACAGAGGAGATGCAGGCTCTTCCGAGGCCCAGGGCCCAGGTTGTTGGCACTACTCTTCCGAGCCAGGTTGTTGGCACTAAGGGGTCAGCGAAAGGTGAATTAGCCCCTCACAAAGCCAAACAAGCCAAACAGAAGCACCAGGAGCTGTTGGCGTTAGCTCTGGGGGTGAATCTGGGCGGTAAGGGTGCCCTCCTCTGGAAGCCTCTAAAGATTTTTACTTGTTCACAGATCAGCCCGTCACCACTGAGCCGACGGACCACAATCAAGGACGGACCGGAGAAACACTGCAATTATGAGAAGATCCACAACTTTAAGGTGGGTGCTGGTTGTGTTGTGGTTATGTAATGTCGGAATTATGATATCTGCACCATTCAAAAGTTTGGGGTCAGTAATATTATAAAAAAATAATAATAATAAAATTTTTATTCAGCAAGGATGACAATTGGGACATTTATAATGTTACAACAGATTTCTATTTTAAATCAATTATGTTTTTAGAACTTTCTTTTCAGCAAAAAAATCCTGAAAACATATTAAGGAGCACAACTGTTTTCAACATTGATAATAACATTGTTAATAATTTTCATGAATGACAAATCAGCATATTAGAATGATTTCTGAAGGATCATGTGACACTGAAGCCTGGAGTAATGACTGCTGAAAATTCAGCTTTGCCATCACAGGTATAAATTACATTGTAAAATATATTTAAATAGAAACCTGTTATTTTAAATTGTAATAATATTTCACAATAATACTGTATTTTTAACCAAAATAAATGCAGCTTTGGTGAGTATAAGAGGCTTTAAAAACCATCAAAAATCTTACCAGCCCCAAACTTTTGAATGGTTCAAACTGTTCACTCATCATAAACTCCTTATTGACATCATACAAAAAGAGCCAAACTGGCTGCATCTTCAACAGGTGAAGGTAGTTGGGTAACTATCTTTTGACTTATTTTTATTTGAAATGCTATTTTATTACATAGTCTCACTATGTCATCTCTTCATTGTGATCAATTTGACATGACATACATTTTTATGTAAACATGAATGTTTTATGCAGAATTACCAGTTATTTTAGTCAACTATCTGTATTAAATGTTGATATTGGGCATACTGAGGATATTTTGTGAAGCCTTGTGCATGTATTTGTTTGCGATTTCGCAATTGTTTAGATTGAATGGTTTTATTTTTTATTTTTTTCAAAACCACCACAATTTGAAATGTTGGTTGTGGGCCTAACAAAGTCAGTCACTTCTATATTTGGCATTAGCATGAGATTTTTCAGATGTTTACTAATGTCTCGATCAAATGTTTATGTACTGACAGCATTTAAATGCACAGTACACATATTGTGAGCCTCGTATCAATAAGCTTAAATCTATCATATGAGCCTAATTGCCTAGGCTTTTAATACATTAACAGCGCTATTGACTGATAGGATTGATCGCACAAATCAATAACCTCTCGCTGCCGAGCTGCTGAATGGACTCTGCCATTTCATGCCTTTTCAGCTTCTGAAAGATGACTGAGGCTGAGAATCAGCACAGTGTACTATCATCTGACTTCCTTTTTAAACCCCAAAAGAGCAAAACAAAGCAATCATCTGACTTCAACGTGTCGCTTGGAAGTTTCGTTATAACATCTTCCTCATGATGAACTCAGGCTGTGTTCCAAAACCTAGTGAGCACACTCAGTATGTAGCGTTTTAAGGTATCATTAGTGTGTTCCCTATGCCAAGGCAATGTAATTTATGCTGGCTCATGAGATATTTTGTTTGGCCGACTGCTGAAAATTCAGCTTTGCCATCACAGGTATAAATTACATTGTAAAATATATTTAAATAGAAACCTGTTATTTTAAATTGTAATAATATTTCACAATAATACTGTATTTTTAACCAAAATAAATGCAGCTTTGGTGAGTATAAGAGGCTTTAAAAACCATCAAAAATCTTACCAGCCCCAAACTTTTGAATGGTTCAAACTGTTCACTCATCATAAACTCCTTATTGACATCATACAAAAAGAGCCAAACTGGCTGCATCTTCAACAGGTGAAGGTAGTTGGGTAACTATCTTTTGACTTATTTTTATTTGAAATGCTATTTTATTACATAGTCTCACTATGTCATCTCTTCATTGTGATCAATTTGACATGACATACATTTTTATGTAAACATGAATGTTTTATGCAGAATTACCAGTTATTTTAGTCAACTATCTGTATTAAATGTTGATATTGGGCATACTGAGGATATTTTGTGAAGCCTTGTGCATGTATTTGTTTGCGATTTCGCAATTGTTTAGATTGAATGGTTTTATTTTTTTTTTTTTTCAAAACCACCACAATTTGAAATGTTGGTTGTGGGCCTAACAAAGTCAGTCACTTCTATATTTGGCATTAGCATGAGATTTTTCAGATGTTTACTAATGTCTCGATCAAATGTTTATGTACTGACAGCATTTAAATGCACAGTACAGATATTGTGAGCCTCGTATCAATAAGCTTAAATCTATCATATGAGCCTAATTGCCTAGGCTTTTAATACATTAACAGCGCTATTGACTGATAGGATTGATCGCACAAATCAATAACCTCTCGCTGCCGAGCTGCTGAATGGACTCTGCCATTTCATGCCTTTTCAGCTTCTGAAAGATGACTGAGGCTGAGAATCAGCACAGTGTACTATCATCTGACTTCCTTTTTAAACCCCAAAAGAGCAAAACAAAGCAATCATCTGACTTCAACGTGTCGCTTGGAAGTTTCGTTATAACATCTTCCTCATGATGAACTCAGGCTGTGTTCCAAAACCTAGTGAGCACACTCAGTATGTAGCGTTTTAAGGTATCATTAGTGTGTTCCCTATGCCAAGGCAATGTAATTTATGCTGGCTCATGAGATATTTTGTTTGGCCAAATGTATCAATCAAAAAAGCATAATAAATATTTTGATACTAAAAGTAATCAATAAGTAGTTTAATGTTAAAAAATAAAATGTAATTGTTAAGAAATAAAATAAGATATAAAATATCTGTATGTATGTATGTATATTATATACTTATAAATAATCAACAAATACGTTAATGTTTAAGGGTAATAAAAAAACATCTAATTGTTAAAAAAAGTTGCATACAAAAAAATTAAATAAAAATTAAACTATTTTCATGTTTGCTATGTGTATTGAGTGCTATTTATCTGATAATGCAGAGTTTCTGCCCCATGTAGGGTGCAAATCAGTCACTTATGAGGTGGCATTTCAGCTAGAATGTAGACAGCTCATTGGGTTTTGGAACAGCTGCTAGCTCTGGACAGAGATGAATAGTATTCTCATTATGATATGTACATTTAAGCAGTCATACACCTGGGCTTTGTCTTTGTGTCTTTTCTTTTGTCCATCTTTGTTCTGTGTTTTGACAGCACAAGGGCGTGCATGGGAACATGCTTTGCGTGTGACTTTCAGCAGCTTGGTAACAGATGCCAGACACATTATTTTCCCCTAGCAATCCTGTAATCTGACTCACATGTATTAAAATGTAGAAAATCAGGGCTGTGTCTTTACAGGGGGTCCTCCCTATTTACATTCTTTCGGTACCACCCTCAGTCTTAGAGGCTTGATTATTTCCTCAGAACTTTGAATAGGAGCAGTTTGTCTCTGAAGTTCTTCCTGCCTTCAAACTGACCCTTGAGTGATTGGTTGCTGTCTTAGGGTTTGGCACCTGAGACGGTGGAGCTAACACTTCACAGAGCTACAGACAACAGCTTCACTCGTCACTGGCTGTCGTTTCCTACAACAAACGTCATGCGTCATGTCAATCTAAACACATTGGATTTTAATAAATTAATTAATTAATATTTGGAGCTATGACCCAAGAGTTAGTGTACAAACACTTTGCCATGATGGTGCATTGATGACAGAAAACAAAATTTTAATCACTTCAGTCACATTTCCTGGTACTTTCACGAAACTTCATGATGATCATTGTTTGGTTGGTTGGTTTTGATTTGTTTTGATTTTTTTTTTTTTTTTTTTTTTTTTTTTTTTTTTTTTTTTTTTTTTTTTTTTTTTTTTTTTTTTTTTTCTGTTTTTATTTTTGCTTTGTTTTGTGTTTTATTTTGTTTCCTGGGGCAAGTGACAAATTGAAATGAAAAAAAATAGTTTTATTTAATGTTTTGTTTGGATTTTTGTTTTGTTTTATCTTCTGTTTTGTTTATTTTTTGTTTTTTGTATTTGTTTTCACAGCTGTTTTGTTTTGTTTTTCTGAGGCAAGTGGTAAACTGAAATTATTTTAATATTAATTAACATATTTAATCAAATTAAAATTTGCCAGTTTTCCTTGGAAAAAATATGTAACTTAAACATTATTGGTCAGTACCTGCCAAAATTTGTAAAATAATATAATGTCAATGGTTCTTTATGGAAACCCGTTTCCGCCACTGAATAAAAAAAATTAGGTAATTGCGACTTTTTATCTCACAATTCTGACTTTTTAGCGCAATTGCAAATTTATATCTTGCAATTCTGACTTTTTTCTCAGAATTGCGTGATATAAACTCGCAATTGCGAGTTATAACGTCAGTATTGCGTAAAATATATAAACTCACAATTCTGACTTTTTTTAAATCAAAATTGTGAGATATAAAGTCCAATTCTGAGGGGAAAAAAAGACTGATATTTTCTCAGAATTGCAAGTTTATATCTTACAATTCTGACTTAACTCACAATCGCATGTTATGAAGTCTGAATTGCGAGATATAAACTCACAATTCTGAGGGGTTTTTTCTCGCAATTGCAAGTTTATATCTCACAATTCTGAGAAAAATCTGAATTGCAAGTTTGTATCACGCAATTCTGACAAAAAAAAAAGAATTGTAAACTCACAATTGTGAGAAAAAAGTCGTAATTACCTTTTTTTATTCAGTGGCGGAAACGGGCTTCCATAGTTCTTTATACATCATAGAACTATGAGTGCGTAGTTCAATGCTTTTCTTTTTATGTTTGTCCAGTCTCAGTGAGACACGTTCTCTTAGTTGTCAGGTACAGTAAGAGATACTCTGGAAATATAATCATTCATTTTCTGTGGAACTTTCATTATGAGCTTTAGCTGGAAATGAAAATCTAGAGATGAATGATTCACTGGCCTAATATGCATGTATGTGTGTTTTCAATGTGTGCTTGACTCACAATGACTGCTTTGCCTTTGGTGTAGGTGCACACCTTCAGAGGGCCGCACTGGTGTGAATACTGTGCAAACTTCATGTGGGGTCTTATCGCCCAGGGCGTCCGTTGCTCAGGTAACCCTCCACCAATCACAAACCCTCCCACACAAATAAAATGTCCATCAGAACTATGGCACCGGCCAAGGAGCATTATTCATATCAAATTACAATCCAAAGGCCGCTTAGGATCCAGATAATTTCTCGTGCCATTCTGGTAACAATGCCTAATTGGCTGTAGACCTTTTCCAACATGCGGTGGCAACCTGAGGCTAAATGAGTGAAAGTGAATACCTGTGACAATAAGGGTTTTAACTAGTATGCTGATGTGTGGGTATTTTGCATTCCTAAATGACACCTGGTCCAAACCAGTTGAGTGCCTTCTGTTGAGTGTTGACTATTTATAGTGGAACATACTGTGTACACTGTAGAGTAATGTGAGAGAGGCACACCCAGGTAAACCAGGACAGTCTCCTTGTGTTAATGCCAAATGCATCAGTCTACACTTCAAATCACACAGATAATCATACATAAACAGATGCATATATGCACACACACCTGTACTGTATGACAAAGTATGACACTTTATTGGTTATGTACAAGTGATGCATATGATTTATACAATAGCTTTACAATAAACTTAAATTCTTTCAAATTAATAAATTATGCATCACGAACTAACAATTTTTGTAGGAATTCATTTTAATCCAGGTGAATCTAGGTTACTTTATAAGTAAACAATTGTTATTTTTTTTATATTGTTCAGTCATGTTTGGTCATTAATCGCATCAAAAATAAAAGTTTTTGTTTACATAATATATGTGTGTATACTGTGTTTGTTTATTATGTATATATAAATACAAACACATGCATGTATATATTTAAGAAAAATATGTTGTTTATATATTAAATATATTTATATATAATATAAAATATAAGAATATGAATATATAAATGTATAAACGTAAATATTTTCAAAATACTGTATATACTGTATGTGTGTGTATTTATATATATATAATAAATATACACAGTACACATACATATATAATGTAAAAAAACTTTAATTTTGGATGTGATTAATCGCGATTAATTGTTTGACAGCACTAGTTTTTTGTTTTGTGATATATATGTTGTGTTTTTGTTTTGTTTTTGTTTTGCTTTGCTTTGCTTTGCTTACCTTTGCGTTGCTCTGTTTTGCTTTTCATTATTTTGTGAGGCAAAAGACAAATTGAAATTAAATGTAAAAATACCAACCAATAAATCCTAGTTGACCATTTTTGATACAGGATGGTCCTAGATTTGACCTAGATAAACAAATGCACCTTAATTCCATGATTACAGGTTTGCTCAGATCTCATGTTAACATGGAGCTGGTTATTGTTTGACATCACTTTCCCAAAACACTCTGTGCATAAACTCAATCCAGTCACAAGGCTTTTTACTGTTAGTTTTTCACACTGTAAATGGTCTCATCCATTCGGGCCATTATTCAAGCCTTTTCTTTTCACACAGGAGCCTCTCTTCTTTCACTCTGGCCCCCGGGCGAGTCAGTGTCATCAGACTCATTGAGAATTAGAGCAGAGTTGAATGTGTCCCTAGGCCCATACGGAGGAACACAGAGCGTTTTTCTTTTTGTCTTCTTCTGTTTTTTTTTCTCGGTGGCCTAAAGATGTGAAGGAGGGGTTCAGGCAGGCAGTAAAACTGACAGAGTGTGATTAGTGGCATTGCTGAAGATGAGGAGCAGTGGGACAGCATGTGCATGCTACTGGAGACACGCAGAGAGACAGACCACCCTACTACCACATTCCCCTACACACACTCACAGTCCCAGTGTCAAAGCAGGTTATCAAACCAGGATTCTTACAACTTAAACAACATAAAAACCTGTTCATTTTTTCCACAAGTTCTAATTGTGGAGTCAAAGGGAGAGTTTTGCACTCATTAATTGTGCAAAACTGTGTCAAATGCAATTTTAAGTAGATTTTTACATTTTCTGAAGAAAATGTGAGGGCTGCGTGAAATGCAAACATCGCCACAGACACTAGGGTGTTTTGCGTGGTTCCCAGAGCGTTGCTATGTGGTTGCTAGGCTGTTCTGGATGGTTGCTAGGTGGTTGCTTACTCTCTAAAGTAAAAAAAGAAAACTCGTAATGGTCCCTAAATATTCTATTCATATAATATCCTGGTTCAACACCTGTCCTTATGCCACATAATTTCAAGTATCATTCATGTCTGTATCACAATTTGTGTGGGGTACATTACATGCTGACGTTTAATTCTTTTTTTTTCCCAAATATCAAGCTCTGAGTATAAGCAAACACCTGTAATATGGAAAAAGGTCACATTTTACAGTACGGTTTTGTGTGTAATAATTTGTTCATGCAGTGGCTTTTACAACATTGTTTGTACTTGGGCTAGTACATTTTTTATATTTTAAGTTAGATTGAGTATAAATTAATATGAGTTTATATACAATGAACAAATAGTAATAAATATACTTTGATATACTATGAATAAGGAGTAATAAATATTACATTTATAGCTTTAAGTTCACCCAAAAATGAATATTCTGCCATAATTTACTAACCCTCATGTCATTCCAAACTTGAACGTTTCGGTGTTTTTGTCAGTTTTAATCAAGGGAACTCAAAAGCCTCAAACTCCCAAAGCGACATAGTCAGTGTTATTTTAGTATCATTGAGGTGCTATTACAGTTTTTATTAATATTTTGAATTCGATTTTATGTTTAGATTTTCTGTTTTCAGTTTTAATTTAGTTAACATTTTAGATAAAATTTTGTTGTGTGTTTGTTTGGTATTTTTATAATTGTTGTATTGTTTTTAATATTTTTATTTCCATTTTAGTCATTTTAGTACATCAAGTTAAACTAAATGAAAACAAGAAATATTTCTTTGGCAGCTGGGAATACAAATAAGGTTAATATGTTTTAATAATTCGGTAAATAAAATGTTTAAGTTTTATTATTTCTGTTATACTTTTTATCATTCTATTTTAGTTAATGTTTATTTTATTTTGTGTGATGAAAATGTTTTAAAACTAAATGTTTTAGTTTTAGTTAACTATAATAACCCAATGCAAATGGATGAGGCCAGTCCATAAATGGTAAAATACTCAGTTTCAATGGTACAGCCACAAAACATATACTCATTATGTAGTTGTGGATTGTTAGTTCATGACACCTGTTCATTAAGGGGATAGTTCAACCAAAAATGAAAATTCTGTTATTAATTACTCACCCTCATGTCATTCCAAACCCGTAAGACCTACGTTCATCTTCGGAACACAAATTAAGATATTTTTGATGAAATCCGAGAGCTTTCTGACCCTCCATAGACAGCAACGCAACTACCAAGTTCAAGGCCCAGAAAGGTAATAAGGACATTGTTAAAATAGTCCATGTGACATCAGTGGTTCAACCATAATGTTATGAAGCTACGGAAATACTTTTTGTGTGCAAAGGAAACAAAAATAATGACTTTATTCAATAATTTCTTCTTCTTTTAAAGATGTCCTTACCTTTCTGGGTCTGGAACGTGTCAGTTCTGTTGCTGTCTATGTAGGGTCAGAAAGTTCTTGGATTTCATCAAAAATATCTTACCGAACGTCTTACGGGTTTGGAATGGCATGAGAGTGAGTAATTAATGACAGAATTTTCATTTTTGGGTGAACTATCCCTTTAAGTACTGCTAACAAATTCAACTTTATTGTGTTGCTGAAAAGCAAATAAACAAACTTAAAATTTCTTGCAGATTGCAAACTTACAGATTCCTGATTCAAATTAACAAAATATGTGTACAAGAGTTGGACACAAAATTCAGGCTAGACTGAATAGGGGCAAGAGCAGAAGAATTGTTTTTCAATTAAGCAGGTGTCCATCATGCACATGACAAGAGGCCCCTGATATACACTTGCATGCACATACGTGTATGTAATGTACGTAGGCTCGCTGGCAAACACACCCAGAAGTCTCACGTATACTTCTCCACGTATACTTTACCCTGAAGATATACCCTCCACAAGACCCCTAGACACACACACACACACACACACACACACACACACACTTTGGGTCTCCATTCCCTTGGGGTCTGTCTTTTTGCCTCTTTGGAGACAACAGGGTCACACTCCTCTAACCTTTTGACCTGTTACTCTTGCAGACTGTGGGCTGAACGTGCACAAACAGTGCTCCAAACTCGTGCCCAGTGACTGTCAGCCGGACCTCCGCAGGATCAAGAAGGTCTTCAGCTGTGATCTCACCACGCTGGTCAAAGCCCACAACACGCCACGGCCGATGGTTCTGGACATGTGTATCAAAGAGATCGAGCACAGAGGTACTGATCGCTTCTAAAATGCAGTGCTAGAACATTTTGATATGGAGATCCCAGATCTTCTCTAGCACCTGTGGCCTTCAGTAAGGCACTTAATCACTGACTGTTGGCATCTCACAGCTGCCCTATTCTCCTTGTCATATATCAAGATGTGCAAAAAGAAGAATACCTAACCTAAAACAACAGGGAGAGGAAGCAAACATTCTCCACATTTTGACTTATTGGGTAACACCTTCCATTAAAGAGAGCATTCTTTGAGAAATTAGTTATATATTAGCCAACCGGCATTCTGCTTGCTATATTTGAGAGAAAAACTAGTCAAATAAAATTAACTTTTTGTTTTAATCAGTTTCTTACTATAGAGAGAAATATAGTATGTGACCCTAAATTGAGATTTATACATCATCTGAAAGCTGAATAAATAAACTTTTTATTGATGTATGGTTTGTTATGATAGGACAATATTTGGCTGAGAGACAACTATTTGAAAATCTGGAATCTGAGGGTACAAAAAAATCAAAATATTGAGAAATTCGCCTTTAAAGTTGTCCAGATGAAGTTCTTAGCAATGCATATTACTAATCAAAAATTAAGTTTTGATATATTTACGGTAGGAAATTTACAAAATATCTTCATGGAACATGATCTTTACTTAATATCTTAATGATTTTTTGCATAAAAGAAAAATCAATAATTTTGACCCATACAATGTGTTTTTGGCTATTGCTACAAATATACCCCAGCGACTTAAGACTGGTTTTGTGGTCCAGGGTCACATATATAATATAAATATGTATTTGTATTGTAATATGTATTTTTCTGTGACTAGAAGTGTGAAAACATTTCACAAATGCCAATATGCACAAATAATAATATGTTGAATTAATATGTTTAGATAGTATTTTAATTATTTGTTTTGGCTTAAGTATAATGACAGTATAAAATCCTACTTAATTTTGCATATAAATTGTTGTCTTATCATACAGTTTTTTTTTTTACATGGTATAAAATGTCTTTATGCATGAAATTATATAGCTGATTTTGTATTTTATGAAGATGAAAGATCATAAGGAGATCCTTATGTTTTGGGGTCGTCATTTTTATCCTGTAAAAATGGCAAAAGGAGGAAAAATTTATTTTTTATAACAGTATAACAGGACTGTATAACAGTTCCACATAATTAAATTTTCCATCATGGAGAATCAGGGATGAAGTTCCTATACACACATGTGTGAGTGGATGATAGATGAACTGGGCAAGACACAGCATATCCAATTTATCAAAAGGATAATCAAAACATTAATTGATTATCTGATTAGTTGTTAGCTGCAGTCCCAGTTTGATCAATACTAATTTACACTTTTACCTCCAAGTGCACTGACTGGATAGTTGAAGTAAATATGTGTTACTTCTGCTTCTTCCAGGTTTGAAATCAGAGGGTCTGTACAGAGTGTCAGGCTTCACAGAACACATAGAAGATGTCCGACTGGCCTTCGACAGAGGTTTGTAGAGGTTTAGAATAACTGTTTGTGCCTCAAACCTGATAGGTGTTCAACTAACATTTGGTCTCTTCACATTCGCTTACATGCTTGAATGAACCCACAGTCCTTTATATCACTGTTATTTTATCAACATGCAGCCTGGATGGAAAAACGTCTCAGGTTACTTATGTAACCATGGTTCCCTGAGTAGGGAACGAGACACTGCGTCCTCTAGGGGTCGCTATGGGAACGCCTCTTTGTGACCCGTGTCTGAAGCATACATTGAAAAAACACCAACAACACATTGGTATAGTATAAATAGGCGCCGGGAGAACATGTCATTCACTTCTTCGTCTGAAGCTTGCGTTCGAAGCATAGCAGGAAGCCTAGAGGACGCAGTGTCTCGTTCCCTACTCAGGGAACCATAGTTACATAAGTAACCTGAACCATAACATGGATTTTAGGATACCGTTCTAAGGGGACTCATGTGGCACTCTGAAAGAGCAGCTCATAGATGGAATGGTGGATACCAAACCCAATATGTTTGAGAGTCACCGACTCGATCTAAGATATAAAGCTGCAATGGCTAGCAGTAAATCTCTAGCTGAGGGGGCAAACACCCAGCTCTCACACAAGAGGGAGCTCGACCTACCGCATGTTCCAATGCTGGAACAGCTAGCAATAACCATGCTTTTCCATTCAAAACAATGTATTGTTGGTACGGTATAGTGATTAATCTGTGACTCATAACAGATAACTAATTCTCCTTTGCAGATGGTGAGAAGGCAGACATCAGTGCCAATATCTACTCAGACATCAATATAATTGCCGGAGCTCTGAAGCTTTATTTGCGAGATCTGCCCATTCCAGTTATCACATATGACGTCTACTCCAAATTTATTCAATCTGCCAGTAAGAGACTATAACTATATATCAATTATATGTGTTATAATTAACTAGAAACTTTCTCTTGTATTCTGTTTTAATGATCATTATATTTTTAACTACTTTGATCTTGTCATTAAAGGGTTAGTTCACCCAAAAATGAAAATTCTGTCATTAATTACTCACCCTCGTGTTGTTCGAAACCCGTAAGACCTTCGTTCATCTTCGGAACACAATTTAAGATATTTTTGATTAAATCTGAGGGCTCTCTGATACTGTCGTGAACGCATGTCCACAAGTGACGCAGTAGAGACGAAAATGTGGAATAAAGTCGTTATTTTTGTTTTCTTTGCACAAAAAATTATTCTCATAGCTTCGTAACTTTACAGTTGAACCACTGATGTCACACGGACTACTTTTCTGGACCTTGAATGTGGTAGTTATCTTGCTGTCTATGGGAGGGTCAGAGAGCTCTCAGATTTCATCAAAAATATCTTAAATTGTGTTCCGAAGATGAACGAAGGTCTTACGGGTTTCAAACAACACGAGGGTGAGTAATTAATGACAGAATTTTCATTTTTGGGTGAACTAACCCTTTAAATACCCTTTGATTCTGGTACAACACTTAAATAATTTTAATAACTTTAATAATTTTGACAATGACATTCAGAAGTTTGGGGACAAGATGATTTCATTGATCAAAAGTGACAAAAACATTTATAATGTTACAAAAGGATTATATTTGAAATAAATGCTGTTTGGAACTTTCTATTTATCAAAGAATCCTGAAAAAACCCTTATAGTTTCCACAAAAATATTAAGCAGCCCAATCGTTTTCAACAGTGAAAATAATAGGACATTTCTTGAGCAACAAATCAACGTTAGAATGAATTTTGAAGGATCATGTGACACTGAAGACTGGAGAAACGGCTGCTAAAAATTCAGCTTTGCCATCAAAGGAAACAAAAACATTTTAAAATATATTAAAACAGAAAATGGTTATTTTAAATTGTAATAAAAATTCACAACATTACTTTTTTATACTGTACATTTGATCAAATAAATGCAGCCATGGTGAGCATAAGAGCAAACATTTAAAAAATCTTTTGAAATCCCCAAACCTTTGAATAGTAGTGTAACTTGTAAATGAAAAATTATAATAATACAAAAATAAATCATTTTCATTAGTGATCTCAGATTTTGGACTGTACGTGCTCAAATAGTGGCCAGTTTTAGCAGAAAAACTGACTTTGCACAATTCTGAACAGTATTTTGCAAAACATGTTCTTACACTTTCTGTTGTCAGAAATAACAGACCCTGATACTAGACTGGAGGCAGTTCATGATGGTCTCCTGCAACTTCCTCCAGCCCACTATGAGACCCTGCGGTACCTGATGACGCACCTGAAGAGGTATTGAATTTCCACACACATTTACTGCTCCCTTAGGTGCCGGTCCCATAGTTCATTACATGGCTCTGTACCTCATTGAGCCGTTGGGTTTTCAGGTTTTTGTTCCATTTAAGCATTCTCTCTGTGGCTTTAAAGAGTGATTTTACTTCCTGTCACCCTGCAATATAAAACGTATAAGACTGATTAGAAGGAAACAGGAAACACAATACGGCACTTTAGCTCAGTGCACTTCAGGAACTAAAAAACCTACACAATGATCCTGAGGGTTTTGTGCTTTACCTCTAACTTGCCAAGCCAGCTTTGCCACATTTCCCCATCCATGGAAAGTATATCAGTTACCTACCTGCATGTTTATTATCAAAATTGTATTGTCTGAGGTGATTTTTCCACATCTTTTCTCTATTTATCAGGGTCACCATGTATGAGAAGGACAATTACATGAACTCGGAGAACCTAGGAATCGTTTTTGGCCCAACACTCATGCAGCCCCCGGACCTGAACACACTCACCACTCTCAACGACATGAGATACCAGAAACTGATAGTTCAGCTCCTGATAGAGCATGAGGACATCTTGTTTTAAACAGCTGAAAGCTGAAGAGCGTGTACATTTTAAAAAGCAGCCTGCCACACATTTCAAAGATATTATGTTTTCTCTTTTGTGTAAGAAATTTGGACTTATATGCACATTTCACTCAATGTGTTTCAATTCCCCAAACAAATACTGATAAGCATGGAGTAAATGAACATTTGTGCTGAAAACAGAATTAATTATTATTGATGGGCATTTTGTTTAAAGGAGTAGTTCACCCAAAATGAAAATTTCCAGACACTTTGGATATAGATGAGTTTGTTTCCCCATCAGAACCAATTTGGAAAAATTTAGCGTTACATCACCTGCTCACCAATGGACCCTCTGCAGTGAATGGGTGCCGTCAGATTCACAGTTCAAACAGCTGATAAAGACGTCACAATAATCCACAAGTAATCCACACCACTCCAGTCCATCAGTTAACATCTGGAGAAGACCCTGAGGGTTTTGTGCTTTACCTCTAACTTGCCAAGCCAGCTTTGCCACATTTCCCCATCCATGGAAAGTATATCAGTTACCTACCTGCATGTTTATTATCAAAATTGTATTGTCTGAGGTGATTTTTCCACATCTTTTCTCTATTTATCAGGGTCACCATGTATGAGAAGGACAATTACATGAACTCGGAGAACCTAGGAATCGTTTTTGGCCCAACACTCATGCAGCCCCCGGACCTGAACACACTCACCACTCTCAACGACATGAGATACCAGAAACTGATAGTTCAGCTCCTGATAGAGCATGAGGACATCTTGTTTTAAACAGCTGAAAGCTGAAGAGCGTGTACATTTTAAAAAACAGCCTGCCACACATTTCAAAGATATTATGTTTTCTCTTTTGTGTAAGAAATTTGGACTTATATGCACATTTCACTCAATGTGTTTCAATTCCCCAAACAAATACTGATAAGCATGGAGTAAATGAACATTTGTGCTGAAAACAGAATTAATTATTATTGATGGGCATTTTGTTTAAAGGAGTAGTTCACCCAAAATGAAAATTTCCAGACACTTTGGATATAGATGAGTTTGTTTCCCCATCAGAACCAATTTGGAAAAATTTAGCGTTACATCACCTGCTCACCAATGGACCCTCTGCAGTGAATGGGTGCCGTCAGATTCAGAGTTCAAACAGCTGATAAAGACATCACAATAATCCACAAGTAATCCACATGACTCCAGTCCAACAATTAACATCTTGTGAAGAGAAAAGCTCTTAACAATATGTTAACTGATTATGATAATTGATGAACTGGAGTTGTGTGGATTATTGCAATGTTTTTATCAGCTTTTTGGACTCTCATTCTGACGGCACCCATTCACTGCAAAGGATCCACTGGTGAGCAAGTGATATAATGCTAAATTTCTCCAAATCTGTTCTGATGAAGAAACAAACTCATCTACATCTTGAATGGCTTGAGGGTGATTAAATATTTAGCTTTTTTGCGGGGGTGGATTCCTTTAAATCAAATTACAGTACCTTTTTATACTGTATGAAACTATGGTCAATTAGCATTGCGAAACTGACATTTTGTCAAGTATGATTAAAAAAAAATATATATATATATATTTTTGGGTCACGAGGTTGGTAAATGTATGTGTGCTATAAAGGCAAGACAGTTAAGATAATGTGTAAAGCACTTTTTAATTTTACATGGAGTGTAAATAGTTAATATTTTGTTCACCCGGTGTTAATAATGCTGTGTTTAACCCATGCCTCCTTCAAATTATATTTTGTTAGCCCTGACAACAATTAAGTGATCTACGTTATCACCCTGTGAATGGACAAAATGGTTATGTGAGCTTTTATTTAGTGCTTGTTCCTTCCTCCTTGGACTTGTTCCCATTTCAATGATTTCGCTAAACAAAATTATGTGTATTGTGTTCATCTTGGACTCCTGAGAATAGATCAGTTATTCACCTTGAAAAAAAAGTCCACATATGGTACCATTACCTTGGTTTGAGTTCCTTCAAATTGTTTATTTGATAAAAGACCTATTTACAGTTTTTTTAAAGATATTTCTGTGAATGATTGTAATTATGATTGTAATTTATCAAATGCTGATTTATTAAATTATGTAAATCTGGTTACTTTAAATCATTTTGACAGTCAAAATGAACTTCTGAAAGTTTGTGTATTATTACTTAAAGCTGCAACACCTCACACTTGCAGCATGTGAAATATGTTGCTGTAATTAGTGCTTGGTCAGCTCTCTTTAGGCGTTGGTTTTCTCTAAGCTTGGTTTTCTTGTTCCAAATTCAGGGGTGTGAATGGCAGCATTGTTTTAGTATCAGACAGCTGAGACGGTATATGCCCCAAAGTGACTTTTTCACCAAATCACAGGTGCAGCGAGAACCTGAAACCAGCTTTCTGAGGGCAGTTGCAGCAGCTCAACAGACCAATGAGAGAGAGGAAGGAGGGCAATGAGCAACAGGTGAACTATAAATGAATGAATTCATCACTCATTATAGTTTAGACAGAGAGATGCAGCACTGTATGATGTTGTAAAGATATAGACAGAAAAGCCACAATGTTGTTTTGCTGGATGTTTTCTTAAAAGAAACGAAAGTCTCGACTGTCAGTCTCTGGCTGACAATAACACACCTGAAGCTGAGGTGAGTATTTCTGACGGATAGATAGTTTTGCTTTAAAATGTCAACATTTAAAGTATGATGAGTTAAACTGACTATAGATATATATAGATAGATGGATGGATAACATAGTAATTAAAATATATATGCCTATTGTATGTATAAAAATAACAATGTTCGCATATCATTTTATAAACGTTAATATATTCATTGCAGTGTGAACTGAATAATTAGACAGAATGGCAGACAGATACTCCTGGTGGAAAAACTTGACTGGAAAAAACAAGAACCATTTTAAAGAAGGCCAGCAGGAATTTGGAAATGCGACGTCGGTGAAACAAACCGGCGGCGACAACAAGAACGGCAATCTGATCAGCGACGAGACGTACGACGACTCTCAGCTGGAGCCTTCCTTCAATGAACACACTTGCCGGAGGAATTGGACAGTTTCACGGTCTGGCCGTTTTAAGGAGAAACGAAGAGTGCGGGTCACCATGCCCGAGAACAACTTTTATGACAAAAACATTGCTGCAGCAAAGTAGCTAGCCAGTTTACGGTGTTTATAATAAATGAAGCTGTTTACACTGCAAGCGCGCGATGCGTCTTCTGGAATTGAGGATGGAATCTTGAGAAGTCCATCCATCTGTCAAGAGGGCGTTGTTCTCATTTTGTCTGGGTGCGTCGTTCGCTTGCAGTGTAGAGATGAAGTTATGAAGAAAACCATCATTCGGTGGAGCCATTGACTTCAGTTTCAGTGGCTGACTGACTGTAATGACACCTGTTACATTCTGCAGTAACCTGGGATTTGTCTCTGCTGAAGGATCTAAGAGACGCTGAACGCTTCATATGAATTTTTCAGTTGTTTGCCTAAAAGAAAGACATTTGCTCTGTCGGCGCAAGTAGCTATTTATAGTTTGGCTGTTTGCTTTTTTCCAGAAAAGTCTCTTTGTCATTTAAAACGGGGATTTTTAAAGGAAACGTTTTTAGATGAAGGATATTCAAGATATGATGTAAATTATTATTACCCCTGCTGCAAACTAACAAGAGGTCAAAAAGGTGACATAGTTTGGAAGATGACCATTGTATCCTCCCCCAGAAGAAATTTGTTTCAGAATTTAACATGTAAATGATGCGTTCTGGTGCACAATGACAACAAAATAAAGGAAAAAGACAACATGCTTCAAGTAAAAAAAAAAAGCACATTTATACCACAAACTTTTTGTACAGTGCAACTCTGTTGTCATCGGTGTTCGTACTTCTCTTTGTGAGCAGTGGTGTAATTTATTTTAGCAAATTTGAATGTTCACATTAGAGTGCGCATACTATCAACAAACTCCATCTTTCCACTGCTGAGGGAGGAAACAGAAGCTGCATCTGAAGTGGCATTAGATGTAGGCTATTTACACAGACTGTTTGATGAAGCTGAGGTTCCATAAATGCATTTACAGCACAAAATTTCAAATGCATAAATAATTTTATAAGATTAATGTTTTAAATATTTTTGAACATGCAAGTTAAAAATGTTGGGAAAAATGCAATACTTTTAAATATGAAACCAAACCACCAGTAGATGTCATTAGTCATTCATTCAAATAGCTGATTCATTCAGAAACGAGGCAAGTGACTGCTGTCTTTATGAAAAAAAAAAAAAGAGAAATCCTCTTTGGATCTAGACGATTCATATACATGACATATTTTGATTCAAAACGGCGAATTTCGCAGAAAAGCGACTAGTTTCCAGGTATGATTACCTTTTCAGTTCTGTTTGGGGGACAGTTTGGTTGGATTTACATTACCTACTGAATGTTGCACCATTGAGAAGTTATGAGTTTCGAGGTTTTATCCAAAATGATTTGAGACTGGGCAGATTCACCGGAGCAAACTAAAATGGAACTGTAAACTTGCGCAAATTTTACAACAACTGTGTAATGCCACAGTATGAATGGAATGCTGTTAAGCGTGACTGACTATATACTGTTGCATGAAAATTATGCACACCACGCACTAGTCATCTGCATTATGTAGGTGTGTGATGATGATGATGATGATGACTATGCCATCTGTCAACAAAATGCCACTTGACTACATTTTAACTGAGCGTCTCATCGTTTTCAATAGTTTTGCCTATTATTAAACATTACATTTTCTAAGAGTACTGTATGCAAGACATTTGAGATAATCAGTTGTTTTGTGTCATGGAACAGGCTAAGAGAAGAGCTCCCTCTAGTGATGGTGTATAAAACTACAACGTCAATAGTGATGAGCAGCACAAAACTGTTATACTTTATTCACATCACAAGTAAATACTTATAGGCTACTCCAGACAAATTGACCGAATCATGTTCTAAATATTGTAAACATTATTGCAAAATTCATCTGAAAAAGTGACACACACATACTATAAAAAAATCTGCTCTGATTAAATATTCAATGTTTCAACCAACAGGCACTTTGGGGACAAACATTTTCTTTGAGCAGAATTTAACACTTTGCAATTGAAGAAGAATTACAGTCTTCAAATACTATAAAAGCTCAATCATACCACCACCTGAGTGTATTTACCCTAAAAAAATTACAGACATGATATTTAGATAACAGAAAACCTGTTTAGAACTACTGAAACATGACATGAAATGATACAGACACGCTGTAAATCTCAAAGAGAAAAATACTGGAATCTCTCTGAAGGTAAACATTGATGCTGTTATGCAGGAGTGTGAAGTATTTATAGTTCATCATGTTTGTAGGTGAACTCCCGAGCAGATATAAATCCATCATTATCTTCATCTTCTTTTTGGAAGATGTCCTCAACCATCACTTCATGATGGGTGTCATTGGCAGCATATCCATGCCGTTCAAACTCTTTACGCAGGTATTCTTTGACCTAAAACAGAAAGGTGTTTAGAATAACACAAATAACTCCCTGAAATGTATTATTGGCATTGATGGTTTCATTAAGAACATTTAACATTCATGTAACCTTTCAATTATACAAAAAGTTCTGTTTTACGGTGAAAAAAAAGGTTCTTTAGATTATTAAAATATTCTTTAGAAAAATTTAAAAAATGGTTCTTTTAAGAACTATTCCATGAAAGGTTTTTTGGGGAACCAAAAATGGTTATTCTACTGCATTGTATACAAAACCCCCTTTAGGAACCTTTATTTTAAGAGTGTATCATAAATCTCATGCTTGATGGACAGCTGCTTTCTGATGCACAGTTGTAAACAAGCAACTGTTTCGACAAACCTCTGCTTTGGAAAGTTTCCAGTCATCATTGAGGTCCATTTCCTGAAAGGACTCATGTGATCTAGGCCCATTTCGGATCTCAATGATCTCAATGTCAAAGATCAGAGTGCTCTCCGGAGGGATTTTACCTGTGAACATAGCATAGCCATTGTCAATATAGCTAATCCGAGTTATAATTCATATAGGGGTATTTTAGACGGACTTAATGCAACGTCAATGACAAATTCAATAGCAGAAGGTGGAGAACACCAGAGCTCCTCAAATGTTTTATGCATAAGCATCTTGCTGGCACACCTTTGCCCTCTTTGCCATATGCAAGAGCTGGAGGGACGGTCAGTTTCCTCTTCTCCCCTGCACACATGCCTTGAAGACCCATGTCCCAACCCTTGATCACCTCACGGATCCCCAGCGTTAACCAAACAGGGTTTTTGTCTCCATGATGGCGGCTGCCAATTACAAGACATATGCATTAGTATTAAAGGCTAGAGACATGCACACTCTGTTGGAAAACCAAGCTTGAGTTGGTAGCTGTGCTATGGAACATGGCTGGTGGTTCCTATCTGGTCTAAGCTGGTCATTCGCTGGTTCAAACTAAACCATCTTGGGTCAGCAACACACCAACTAACAGCTAACGTGGTCAAGCTGGTTTTTGGATCAAGGTTGCTGACCAGCTAATGATCATTCTGGACCAGACAGAAACCAGCAGTACAATGTTGCAAAACATAACTGTTTAAGCTTAAAAAACAATGTGTATTCAGCAACAATAAACACATTCTGACAGTTAACCAATGCATTCTCATTGCAAAAGGGGAAGGTTTGGGTAATAAAGCCCGTTCTTGTGTAGCCTATATTTGCAGTGTATGAACATGCATTAGATCAGGGATGCCCAAACTCGGTCCTGGAGGGCCGATGTCCTGCAGAGTTTAGATCCAACTCCAATTAGGCACACCTGAACCAGCTAATCAAGCTCTTACTAGGCACACTAGAAACTTCCCAGCAGGTGTGTTGAGGCAAGTTGGAGCTAAACTGTGCAGGACACCGGCCCTCCAGGACCGAGTTTGGGCACCCCTGCATTAGATGGTCCATTAGATGTCACCTGGAATGAAACATTGTGCCATTACTCTCCAGAAAGCCTTCGTAGTGAACCAGAAGAATATCTCCGTATTTGGATTTACGATGACAAAGGAAAGGTTTGTATAGAACTTCTATTTTCACCTCTGGTTCCGGAAGTTTTGCTCCATGCACGTAAAAGCATAATGCAGAAAAAATGCATGTCCACAACTCTGGAATCATCTTAAATATAAAGAACAGTTTAACACTCTCTAGCTGTTTAACTAATGTTTCATGCACAACAAAGTTCTGATAAAACTTCCCAAACGACAAGTTGTGCCGCCGCGACTACGTGGCAAGCGAAATTTCTACAGGGGTCTTTCCCAAACCAGGGATGTCCGATCTGTGAACGAGTCGTTCTTTTGAGTCGACTCTTTTCAATGAATCGGTTGAAAACTTGAAAAACGAGCAGTTCACATTAGATGTGTCCCAATTCATAGGCTACGTCCTTCGAAGGACCCGTCAAGTCAAGTCAAGTCAAGTCAAGTCTGCTTTATTGTCAATTCTTCCACATGTACAGCACATACACACTCCTCCAAAGGATGCGGCCTTTGAATTGGGACACAGCATTTGACTGTTCACAATAGTAAACAGCAGAAATGTTACAAATTGAACGTACTTGACATGTTTATGACTGATTGCATGAAATATTGAAATACATGAATGAAAGATAATTAATTGTACTTTTTATCTGAAAATACAAATTACATTTTGTTTTATGAGCTTTATTATGACTTCAGCAAGCTGGGAAATATCACAATTGCAATAACAGCTTTAAAAAAAAAATATTGAAAAAATAAACGTTATAAACGACAGAAATGTTAAATGTACTGGACTGTATTTCATATTAAAATATATGAAACTTATTAAAATGTTAAACTTAGAAAATCTTTTTTTAGATAAGAGATATTGAATTTTGTTTATAAAAAAATACAAATTATATATTTAGGTTCTAAATTACACTTTTGAAATTACTGGAACACATCACAATTACAACAAAGTGTAATGATAAACGACCGTTTAATTTAGAGAATGTAATATGCCAAGTTGAGATATCATAACGGGAAAGCGTAAAAGACTCGCTAAGTTCTTTTGAAAGGAATTGTTCGAAGGAACCGACTCTCGGACCTCATCTCACACTCCCAGATTCCCATCGTAAACGTTGCCACCCTAAAATACAACATTTAATTATCATTGGTCAGCTTTTTTTGAGGACACGCCTTAGCGACCAGTATCTAATTTTCATTGGACATTACACACATAGTCTCAGCACAACCACGCACATTTACTCACACCGTATCCAATGAGAGGTTCGCTAAACGAAAATCCCACAGGCGTCACGTACGTGGGCCGATCCTTCTATGATCACATGGACTGGTATTCTCGAAGCTTCTACGCCAGTCGTTTGCGTAATCTCAATTCCCAGCAGTCACTTTGCGTCTTTCGTATATAGTTGTCGTAGTTAGGAATTATCTCGAGTTTCTCAGAGGCTGTGTTGGGCTCAGTCTTGCCACGACTAAGTAATGAATTGTCAAGAGAAGGTCTATCATGGAGGGAGTTCTCTATAAATGGACAAACTATATTAGCGGTATGTATACAGCAATAGTTAAAAGCTATATGACGTAAATCAGGGAAGCCTGAAAAGCAGTTAGCCTGTTTGCTAGCTCAAGCAACGTCAACGTTAGTGTATAAATGAAGTTAAGCATCATCCTCTTTAGCTCTTTGTGCCGATATTTTTTTTTCCAAAGCTGGGACCAACTCAACCACATAAGTCTCATCTGCCAAAAGCATTTTCAGAAAAGTTTGTTTTGCTCTTAAGATTATGTGTGATTCTGTTTTATTCACTTCTACCTATGACCAGTTAAAAGCCTCCACTTGACTGGAAGAACAAGTCAAACCGTATTATGTTCATGGATCTCAAACGTCATCATATACATTGTTACATGTGTCGGTTACAGTGAAAAATGTCATAATTGCTTTGTTGTTTCTCTTAAAAGGTTGGCAGCCTCGTTGGTTTGTTCTTGAGGGAGGCACTCTTTCCTACTATGACTCTCAAGAAGATGCATGGAAAGGATGCAAGGGCAGCATCAAAATATCTGTGTGTGAAATACAGGGTAAGGAAAAGTTTATGCCTAACCTGAACAGGAAACCTAATAACCATTACATCACAAGCGGTTATTCTTTTTATGCTTCAGGATATCTTAACACATGTATAGGCAAGTGGATGTTTCTTCATCTTTGGGAACTTTTATGTCCCAGGGGCTGATTTTCATTAAAACTAACGTTCAGCTGTTTTTTTTGTGAAGTTTGCATTAAAGCTAGGGTTGCAAAGGGGTGGGAAAATTCCGGTAAATTTCCGGAAACTTTACAAAAATCCCTGGAATATTCAAAAAAATCCTGGAAAGTTTCCAAAATTTCTGGAATGTTTCCGAAATATACTGAAAATGTTCCACCTTTTTGCAACCCTAATTAAAGCTGTCTTGGGCAACTTTTTTGTTTTGTTTTTTTTGTTATGCCTTCAGATCTTATTTGTTTTGCTACTTTTCGAATGTCTTATTTGATTTTATCATTTTATTTTTGTCCTAGACCAAGACTATTAATCTTAATTATAAAAATTCATCGTGAGAGTATGAATCATTGCATCTTTGTAACTGTAAACAACCTTTTTACAATATTTATTGTTTGAAAATGATTTATAATTATTGCCACTACAGCAACAATGTTCTCCCTAATAGATTTTGAGACTATATGTTGGATACATAAAATGCTAGATAAGAATTTAGCCTTGTGAAAACAAAAGGAAAGCTATTTATTTGAAAAATGTTCAAAATGTACATTTCCACTGCCATCATTTCCATCATACAATCCTATTAAACATAATGCCTCATTGGAGATGTGGTGAAAATGACACTGTGATTAAAATCGTTATTGCTTTACTTAATAAAATGGGGAAAAGGAGCAGAATTGTGTGTTCACTGTTGAACAGTAATAGACTAGTAAAATAAACAAGTGAGAGTGTGAAGAGACTTTATTTTTTAACAGGGCCAAAAGTGTCCAGAGTTGAAGAAACACCCAAGTACTGTATTACAACTATAGTGACTGATCTCATGCTTTACTTATCCATCTTCTTTGTCCTCCCTCTCCATTGTAGTTCACCCATCGGATTTCACAAGGGTTGATCTGATCATTCCAGGAGAACAATACTTTTATCTCAGGGCAATTAATGCAGCAGAGAGGCAGAAATGGCTTGTGGCGTTGGGGACTGTAAAAGCCTGCCTCACAGACAACCGAACCAAGAGAGAGAAAGGTGAGTGTTGTATTTCTGCCGTAATAGACAAGATATTCTATGTAGATCATCTGGCTTGTGTTGATGATGTATTATAAACTACCATTTAGGTTGATAGTTTGCAGTCAGTTCTAATGTTTTTGAAAGAAGTATGTTATGGTCACTAAGGCTGCATTTATTTATTTAATCAAAAACGCAGTAAAAACTACAAATCTGAATTTTCAGCAGCCATTACTTCAGTCTTCAGTGTCACATGATATGCTTTTTTGGTGCTCAAGAAACATTTCATATTATTATTATTATTATTATCAGTGTTAAAAAGGTTGAAAAAATTCTTTGTTAAATAGAAAGTTCAAAACAGCATTTATTTGAAATAGAAAGTGTCTTTTTTGTCAATTTGTTAAATTTATTGCATCCTTGCTGAATGAAAGTATTAATTTGCTGAGTTTAATTTTAAAAAGTGTAAAATAACTGAGCCCAAACTTTTAAATGTTATGTTTTAATGATGTTTTAATAGACAATGTCAAATACAGGAAACATATGATTTCATGGGGGCTTTAACCAATGAGATTACATAACCCATTCAGATCATGACGTTTGTTCATTTGGCAATTTTTCAAAGAGCTGTCAATTCAAGTCTATGAAGAAAATAATGTCAACAATAGTCTCTTTTATCTTCTCAGAGCTCCAGGAAAACACAGACGCTCTGAAAACAAAAATGTCTGAGCTAAGGCTTTACCGTGACCTTCTCCTTCAGCAAGTGAACAAAATACAAGAAAGTTCTCAAGCGGAGATGGCAGCCGATTCGGGGGAGGTAAGGGAGTGCTTGTCTTGAGTCAACCTTCACTACGCTTAATTAAACAATATATAAGCTGTTCAAACATCAATACAGAGTGTTTAATAGCTCAGACTTGCACTAATGAATTGTATTATCATTCTGATTTTTCGTAGTTGTCTTTATCACAAAAATGAGGAGTAAAAATCAGTTCTAAAACAGTAAGACTGATCAACCTACTCTAAATCTTAAGTTTTGTTGTGCTATATGTGGGTTTCAGGTAGGGGATGAGACTGGAAATCTAGTGAAGTCCACTTGCACCACCTTCTTGAAGACCCTGGAGGAGTGTATGCAGATTGCTAGCCGGACCTTCAATCCAGACCTTCTGAGTCGGACCCCTCCAGGCTCTCCTCCTGTGGCTACCATCAAACCTCACAAGGTATATTAAATCTAATCACTGAATGGTTGTAAATTCATTTAGTTTGTCAGAACCTAAAATAGAATGTTTCTTTTTTCCCATAGATCAAACCTACTGATCCAAGAAATCAGCACCCAGGAGAAAAGTGAGTTCAGTTCATATTAATGTACTCTTGTGGTTTAGTTTTTCTCTACAATGTTTAAAATGTGTGTTATGCAGACAAAAGGACTTAATAAACATCTCAGGAACATCAGCACATGAGAGTGGACCAGAAAACGAACCACCTCCATCTCCTCAAGAAAACATGCCTACATCTCCTACAAGTATGACAAACATTAAGTCAGATTCAGAAGTGATTACGCATGCAGCATTTGGCAGACCTCAACTATCATTTCCTGTCTTGTTCTGTTTAGGAAGTGGTTTAATGGAGGGCCAGAGGGAGCCCATGGAGCCTCGTAATGGCTCTTCATCAAGCACACGGGACCCTGAAGAATCTGTAGGAGAGGAGAAGGACATACCGACAGAAGAAGCAGACCTTCCCCAAGAAAAACAAGAGGAAGTCTCACTGAGCCCCACACAAAACAAAGAAGAAAAGGTCACTGAAGAAATCCAGGCTGACCTGGAAGTGAATGAGCCTCAGTCTGAGAATAAACAGGAAGAGGAAGATAAGGTGGACACATTCTTCAGTACCATGAGCCACAGGTATGAGGCGCCTCCGTTGCTGTGATCCTCTGAGGGAACAAGATGAATGTACTGCACACCATTTACACTATTCAGAATCTTGTTTTTGGTTTGAAAATTAGCTATGGTCATGCTAATGTCAAGTTATAAGCTAACACTACTTTTAGAATTTTGTTTACAGAAATGTGCTATATGCAAAGTCAGCATTTCAGTAAAAATTCTAGATTGTGGGACTATAAATCTCCATTGAGTAACATTGTGTCCTGAGTAACCAGGTGCAGCGCGATAAAGTGACAAGCGATCAATCTTGTCTGTTCTGTTAAAGGTATATTCAAAGGTAAAGTCTGTTGAAAGAATTTGCACTCACCTAAAAGTTCATCAAAACAAATGAAAAACCCATTGACAGAAATGCGCTTTAATTGAAGTTATCTATATATTACATTCTAGATAAATTATTGTACTTATGTCACAAAAGTTTGCTTTCAGTTAGGACAAAAAAAGACAGACCTTTATACTGTTTACTTGTTGTGTCTCACCTGGTTAGATCGTGATGTAAAAGGCACTTTCCACAAATAGGGTACCCTTTTTTTTTTTTTTTTTTTAAGCATTAGACGCACAAATGTTATAAAACCAAACTAGAACTTTTAGAAAAACTATTCTCTAACATCACATATGCGTAAAAAACTGTTTTAAATATATCATATATCTGGACCCACCGTAAAATAGAGATATTTTCGAACTGTTCCACCTCAAAATACAGCAATGTCATATAATTTTGACGAATTATTGAACTGATATTTGATTAATTGTAGTTAAAATCTATTTAAAAAGTCAAATTGAAATGTCCAAACATGTTTATTGTTTGCTGTGTTCCACATTATGCATGAAACCATGTTTCCAATTGGACCGTTTCTACAGGAAGACGCATAAATAATCTTATTTCTTTTTACATTTTTTCAAAATGTTTATCTATGATATTATAAAAATGATTAAATAACTATTAATCCATCCTAGGTGTTATATGACTTTGTTTTTTCAGACAAATACAATCAGAGTTATATTAAAAAAAAATTCTGGCTCATTTTGAAGCCCAAAAAAGTGCATCCATCCATCATAAAAAATGCTCCACATGGCGCTGGGGGGTTAATAAATGTCTTCTGAAGCCAAGCGTTGCATTTGTGTAAGAAAAATATCCATATTTAAAAGTCTATAAACCGTAATCTCTAGCTTCCGCTAACTGTCATACACCTGTTCACAAAAAAAGAACACAGAATCTCAACCCCCATTCACTGCCATTATAAACCTTGGAAGAGCCAGGACATTTTTGAATTTAACTCTGATTGCATTCATCTGAAAGAAGAAAGTCATATACACCTAGGATGGCTTGAGGGTGAGTAAATCATGGGGTAAGTTTCATTATTGGCTGAACTATCCCTTTAAGTAGAAGTTAATAGTCAAGCACCTTCCTTTGCTGGATAGACTCGTATTTGTACCTTGGTTGTGGAAAGTTCCAAAACAAAGGAATAAATGTCTTGCAGTTTCAACATAGTGATTTCATCATGTAAAGACAAAAGTGGTTCATGATTAAATGTTTATCATGGTATGTTTTCTTTTGGTCGCTCAAAATGAGGCCCAGCCTGTGATGAGGGTTTGTAGATTCTTTTGCTATTCATAATTCTTTCATCTCTTTTATGTAATAATGAGGTTATCACGTAACTACAACACTAATCTGTTCCAACAGCCTTCATTGGACTGAAACCAAATAAAATTGAACTGTCAGTAATGTGAAATGTTATCAAAGCAACGTGTCGGTATTCAGATATGAAAACCTTTTCAGTATTATATCACTGTGTGAAGGTTGTAAAATCTCATTTATAAAACCTGTATTTAATGTGTCCTGTTCTTAATTAAGGACTGCATGTTCCAAACTGGTTTTCTTCTGCTTTGGCTATGCCTGCTTTTGTATTGGTGTTTTATTTCATCAAATAAATGTTTTGTTGACGTATGTACTAATGTATTGTCCTTGTCTGAATGTCTGTGGTTTTTTCTTGTAGATTTAGTGATATACTACTGGAGGACGACAGTGGTATTCCCACACAAGCCTTTTTGGATTCTTGCTATGCTATAGTACCAGTTTTAGGTAGGATACTGTATTTTTCACTCTTTCTCCCTTTTCCACCCCTTCGTTGCTTTCTTTCTTTTCCCGTCAGTCCAGGTTGTCTCATTCTCTGCTTTCATTAGTATTGTGCTTATTAAATGTTGTAAAATGCCACTGGGGACATTGATTTTTGTTACTCTGTGCATGTGTCAGTTCACCATGTGGTCTTGATTTTTTGTTTTGTTTATTTATTTGCATCTCATGTTAGTCTGCACAGTTAATACCTCATTCTCCCTCAGGCATGGTCTTGCATGCTCTGCTATGTCTTTATACTGGGACAGTCCGGTGAGTATCTGACCAAGAACCGAGGCCAAGAACATGAAAATCTGTGTCAGCAATCAATTATTACAAAAGCTTTTGTACAAAGGATTTTCCTCACTTTCTTCTTAAGAACATACTGTATCAATGGAGGACGACAGTGGTATTCCCACACAAGCCTTTTTGGATTCTTGCTATGCTATAGTACCAGTTTTAGGTAGGATACTGTATTTTTCACTCTTTCTCCCTTTTCCACCCCTTCGTTGCTTTCTTTCTTTTCCCGTCAGTCCAGGTTGTCTCATTCTCTGCTTTCATTAGTATTGTGCTTATTAAATGTTGTAAAATGCCACTGGGGACATTGATTTTTGTTACTCTGTGCATGTGTCAGTTCACCATGTGCTCTTGATTTTTTGTTTTTTTTTGTTTTGTTTATTTATTTGCATCTCATGTTAGTCTGCACAGTTAATACCTCATTCTCCCTCAGGCATGGTCTTGCATGCTCTGCTATGTCTTTATACTGGGACAGTTCGGTGAGTATCTGACCAAGAACCGGGGCCAAAAACAAGAAAATCTGTGTCGGCAATCAATTATAAAACCTTTATACAAAAGATTTTCCTCACTTTTCATCACTTTCTTCTTAAGAACATACTGTATCAAGGTGATAACAAAGGTGATTGGTATGTCATGCACCGGTTTGCTACTGGTACAGTTTTTAAGCCTCACTTTTTTCTATAGTTTGAATGGGCATGATGCTTCTGAAGGTGATTGGGATTGAGTAAAGATTAATGGTGTTTCTCTCTGGGTTGTGGTGACTCAATACACTTGCACATCAGGAATACAGTAGATCTTTGTGCAGATAGATTATTGGACTGCACATGAACTGGCACAAATTGTTATTTCCCACAAATGTTTCTAGATCTTCACATTGAATTTCATGTGTGTCATTGTCTCAGTTACTGTGACCCTCACCAATATATGTGTACACTACCATTCAAAAGTTTGGGGTTGGTAAGATATTTTTTTATGCTCCCTCAGGCGGCATTTCTTTAATCCAAAATGCAGTTAAAAAAAGTGAAATTGTGAAATGTATTTACAATAATAATGAGCAGTTTTCCATGATGCATTTTAAAATGTAATTTATTCCTGTGATGGCGAAACTGCATTTTCAGCAGTCATTTCTCCAGTCTCCTTGTGAGATTATTCTAATATGCTGATTTTGGTGCACAGTAAACAGTATTTTTTTTTTTTTATTAATATTATTATCAATATCGAAAACAGTTGTGCAATGTAATAATTTAGTGTAAATCATGATACATTGTTTTTTGGGATTGATAAAATGTTTAAAAACATAATTTGGAATATAATTTTTTGTTTTGGTAACAATTATCATTTCCTGTAATAGTCTTTACTGCCACGTTTGGTCAATTAATTCTTCTTTGCCGAATAAATGTATTAATTTCCTTCAAAAAAAATTACTGACCCCAAACTTTTGAACAGTATTGCATGTTTAGGAAGAAACTAACAGCTTAACCAACAAAGTACTTACAAAGACTTTCTCCCCTCAGACAAGCTTGGACCAACTGTCTTTGCTCCAGTTAAAATAGATTTTGTGGGAAACATTAAGGTAAGCGTAAATGCAAACAATGAAATACATCTATAATAATGCATACATATTTTAGATGACATGAGCTGTGGGTTTACAGATTATGTGTTAACTTTAGGAGGACTTGCATGTCATTAGTATCGGGGTGAAAAATGCATTGATGCATCTGACAATTAAAATTCAGTGCATCCAGTACAGAATTTAATCATCTGTAATAATGAGCAGTAATGAGTAATTGCTGTAATAATAGCAATAACAGCAAATATTTAGTTAAGCTTGACCATTCAAAGTAATGCCTGTGACGACTTTGAGACTGGTTTGTAGTGGGTTTCCTTACATATTGTGATATATGAATTATTGCTTGGGAGGTCAGAACTTTTTCCCAAGAGTTTATCAGTTGAAGTATTTAACAGGGTACTGTAATTTCCCTGTACTTTTTCTGGATGTTACCATAACCACTAGAGGGCATAATAGCTTGGTCTGAGAGTTCATCCTCCTTATTTTCTCCATCAGAAAATCCAGCAGAAGGTGGTGTCTGATCCTGAGAGTTTCCCCACCCTGCAGAGCATTGTGCAGCATGAGGTGGAGACGGAGGTGACACAGGTGCGGAACTCGGCCACAGAAGCGCTGCTGTGGCTTAAACGTGGACTCAAGTTCCTCAAAGAATTCCTTTCTGAAATCAATACAGGGATAAAGGATGTCCAAGGAGCTCTTAGTAAGTCAGATGATCAAATCTAAAACAGTTTGTGTTGCAAAAAGAAAATAACACCTGGTTCAAACAACTGTCCTTCAGTCAGTGACTTGTAATGTCCCCTTTTTTCTTCTTTCAGATAATGCATATGGAAAGACACTACGGCAATATCATGGATGGGTTGTTCGAGGTGTCTTTGCAGTAAGTGTTGTGCTAAGAGTGCTATTTTTCCATTTTAAAGGAACATATTTCTGACGCCCTAAGCCCTATTCGCACGGGATTAGTATTATCTGGGGACCTCGTGTCATTTAGAAATTACCCCACCACATCTGAATTTCGTGTGGCGCATTCGCACGGGATAAGCAAAGACTGTGATTTTACTCAAATTTACTGACTTGTCTCCCGGATATGAATGTTCCTTACCGCATGCTGCTGTAAACGTCATCCATCTAATTATTTTCTTAGTTTTTGCTCTTCTGATGGTTTTCAGCTTTCTCTTTCTGCAAATTGTGTGTAGGTGTATCGGTGTATAGTGACGGGCGGTTATAGACCCTTTTTAGGTGGGTTTCAGCCCCCATATCTGTCGTCTCAGCCCTCTAAAACTATCTGAACAATCGGGCCAGTGCTGCTTCCTCTATGTTTATCATTCACATGTGTTTTAAGGCTTGTCAGTTTAAACATTTAAGTGATTTTAAGCTATTTGAGAACAAGACGGCACGAAAGATCTCAATGCGGTACTTGCACGCTGTCATGGATCATCTGTGCGCGCACACACCTGAAGCGGGCACACAAAGAAGCCATCTCTGAGACCGCATGCAAATATGAAATTATGTCTTGACTACTATCAACGTAAAAACAGATGGTTACGCCTTAAGTGAACGTAAATAGTTAAGAAAATATCAGATGTGCATTAATAGACCCGTGCATTTCTTAGACTATGTTAATAATGGTAAAGGGGTCATATGATGCGATTTCAATTTTTCCTTTCTCTTTGGAGTGTTACAAGCTCTTGGTGCATAAAGAAGATCTGTAAAGTTGCAAAGACTAAAGAGGGCTCAGCCCGCCTGTGGATGAAATCCTAGAACCGCCCCTGTATATGACCCAGCACTGAAAATACTATCAAAACACTCCAACACAGCCTCCATTCTTCGTGAAAGATGGATAAAAAGGTGCACAGGAAACAAAAACCTTGAAAAAATGATATACGACCCCGCCAAGTCGTGGCCTAATGGTTAGGGGAAGTCGTGGCCTAATGGTTAGAGAGTCGGACTCGTAACCCAAAGGTTGTGGGTTCGGGTCTACAGGACCTCGGTGTTCAGCAAAATATGGTAGGTCATTTGTGGGGGAATTTTTACTTTACAAATTACAAACATGGCCGATTTGCATGGGATTAAGATTACAGACAACCTCCGCAATTATTACAAATGACTAGAGGTCACCAGGTAATACTAATCCCGTTCGAATAGGGCTCTAGTGTCACTTCATGTTCTGTTTATGTTTCTGTCAAACACCAAAATTGATCTCTTTTTTTTGGGAGAAACTTTATACAGTTTTACCATACTTCATTCTAACTAAAAAATGCTATTGCGGAACCCACCACTAATCAGTTTGTGGCCACAATATATATTTTTTTCTTTTTGGTTTTTGTTATGTGTGTGCCTCCATATTTATACCATTTTTTTTTTTTTACATATATTTATATTTTATTTTTGTTACTTTATTGTGATAAGGCAGTATGCAGTAGACAGGAAGAAACATGTTAGAGCATATTAATTATGTATTAGCCTATATATATATATATATATATATACAAACCCGATTCCAAAAAAGTTGGGACACTGTACAAATTGTGAGTAAAAAAGGAATGGAATAATTTACAAATCTCATAAACTTATATTTTATTCACAATAGAATATAGATAACATATCTATAACCTCTGACACGGAGAAGAGTTAAAACTCCTCACATGACCACTACCGAACATCTGAACATAACGAAACAAATGCACATTTAATATCAGTATTAATTGTGTCTAGGCAAAGGCATTCCTCCTGGAACAGGTCGCACGCCGATGCGCAGAGCTAACGCAGGTTTGGCGGGTGTTCATTTCATACTTTGTGACAGCTTATTTAATATATAAATTATACATTGTATTTAATGTATAAGGTACATGTAGAACAAACTGGTAATCTCATAGTGGTATCTTGTACTGTAATCGAATGTAGCCTATCTATACCTGTGGAACCATATCTAGCAAACAATAGCCTTTGCAGATTTGCTTTCAATTGACTATAGATCCAAAGCCACGTCTTCAACGCTCTTGATGTTCTTAAACTTTCTTTTCTCTTTCTAACATTCGTTCGTTATCTCACTATGGGAACGCCTCAGGCGTGACCGATCGCGGAAGCACCAATAACATCACGTCTGCCAACCATGGCAGACCAATCTCTGCAGCGATCAGGGAGTCCCGCCTCCCTGTATATAAACCGCAGCTACCTGCCGTTTCGTCATTCTTGCTCTCTTCCCCGTGGAAGATTTTTCGGAAGCTGTTCTCAGCAGACTTCGGGAAGTATTTGCTTAACAGTTTACAGATGCAGCCACAAGGTAACGTCCCAAACGCAATACATTCCTAACGTTTGTTGAGTGACTTCACTTAGAGTGAGATAACTAACGCATCAAGGTGAGTTTTCTGCTCTAAGTTTTCAATTTATTTTCTGAGTTTTTGGGGTGCTCACCACGCACCAAAAAGAAGTAAAAGGAGAGCTCTCTATCGCAGCACAGCTCTGTATTAGTTGTCACGTTGTGGCTCCATGGCCTCTGCGAAAGGACCGGAGGAAAAGGTCGTCCTCCCCATCCGTGTGCTTGTGGAATGTGGATTTCTGCGAAGGATTCACACGGCCTCTGCATCTCCTGTCTGAGCGCTAAACACGCTTGGGCAGCTCTGTCCAACCCCGAGGGCTGTCCTCACTGCGCGACGTTCTCTATTAAAACCCGAGAGCGGAGACTCTGCGTGACAGTAGCTGGAAAGTCGGACCCATGCCTCTCTGCTCAACCCAGAGAGGAACTGATGAATTGTTCGCAGGCCGTCAGCTCGTGGGGTGAGATGATGGAGAGGGTGTCACCCGTCCTTCCCCCGCTGTTTGAAGATCCGTTAGCGGGAGAGGAAGATGACGATGACGAAGTATTGTCGACTATCCTCGAGGTCGAGGATGACAATGATGAAGATGCTGTTCTTCCCCTGAATCAGTCGCGTCCGCCGAGTGCACAGGATGAGAGTTCACCCTCCCCTGTACAGATGGACACCGATCTACTCGAGGTCTGTCGCAGGGCCACGGCTAGACTGTCGATCGACTGGCCATCCCAACCGGCAGGTCGGCTGGGAGGAGATATGTGTCATCATCGATTTAAACCTGCGCACGTCCTGCGGAGCAGTTCAAAGTTGCGGTCGGAGAATGGGCTTAGCGGTTGTGGGAGAGAGACTGCTACGGCTGGGTTTGTCAAGCCTCTCTGACAAAGAGAAAGTGGAGTTTTTGGATGCCCCTATTGATCCAAAGGCCATGTTTGGCACGACGGTTACAGCGATGCGTCAGCAATGTGACCTGCGGAAAAAAGAGGGAGAGGCATTCGAGGTCTGTCTCCCCAGAAAGCCGGCAGTTTGGCCTTATCACCCGAGCCAGACCTTCAGGGAGCGGGGGGCATTCTGATAATCAACCTTCCCGTCCTGCTCCACCACAACAGCCGGGAAACGCGGGCCCTCAGTCAAAGCCCAGTTTCGTGAAACCGAAACACCGCAGCAGCGAAACACCGGTCGGCCACCCCTCAGGAGAACAAAAAGAGGCGGTTGACCTGAGACTTCAGTTTGGCATCAGGAAGGGTTTGGAGACAGCACTCAGGGTTTCTCTGTCCCATCCCTTCAAAACGATTCCTTTCTCCCTGCCTCGGGGAAAATGAGAAGGAATTTAAATGTGAAATGGGTTTGTGTGAACAGTTCAAAGTCTAGTGTGCGTGGGAAAATGGCCCATGTTCCTCTGGCGCCCCCCAAAGAATTTTCTCTCCCTCCACCTACGAGGTTTGTTCTGAGGGAGGAAGGACAAAAGTTCATAAGCATCTCATCACAAATAAAGTTTTCACTGATGCATCCAGGCCAGGGGCTGAGGGCGCAGAGTGGGATAAAAATAATAAAAAAAATATCACAAAAGATTAAAACAATCACAAATAAAGACGAATATAACTCCTTCACTGGAGCGGTATTCCCCTCCTTCGCCAATAAAGTGTGCTGCAACACCGCTAGTGAGCGAAGATGGGAAGGGTCCACTCGCAGCTCAGGTGGCGAACTGGTGTGCTTGCGCAGTTCATCCCTGCGTTTTAACCACGATAGACAGGGAATACAGACTTTAATTCGCTGTAAAACCTCCTGTGTTCAGTGGTGTGGTAATTTCAGTGGCCCAAGGGGAAGCAGCTCAGGTTTTAGAGGAAGAAATATCCTCTTTAATGAGAAAAGGAGTGATAAGAGTGATTCCAACGAAAGAAAGCCACATAGGCTTCTACTCCCATTATTTTTTGATTCCCAAAAGAGGGGGAGGTCTCCGTCCCATTTTGGATTTACGGGTCCTCAACAAACACCTCAGAAAATACAAATTCAAAATGCTTTCGCTCAGAACTTTGTGTCAAAGTATTCGTCAGGGAGATTGGTTCACCTCAGTGGACCTCCAGGACGCATATTTTCACATAGATATTTTTCCTGCTCACAGGAAATATCTGAGGTTCGCTTATAATGGCACAGCATACGAGTATACAAAAATCCTATTTGGCCTTGCTTTAGCTCCCAAGGTTTTCAGCAAATGTGTGGAAGTGGCTCTGACGCCGTTAAGGAATGAAGGGGTCAGAGTTTCATCATATCTGGACGATCTGCGCGCCGTCACCGCGGCAAGCAGAGAGCGATACGTACACCCTAGACGTGTCTCTCAACCTGACACATCTGGAGAGATTAATTTTCAAGATAAACCAGACGAAAAGTTGGCTAACTCCTTCACAGGAAATAGTCTACTTGGGCCTCAGGTTGAATTCAGTGATGTTTCGAGCTTTCCTATCAGAGGAACGCATCAAGACATTTCACAGCTGCCTCTCCCTTTTTCAACGACGGAGATCAGTCTCTTTCAGAATGTGTCTTCGGCTACTGGGTCTGATGGCCTCGACAGTGT